TACAATTTATTTTATTAGATTTATGATGATTGTCGTCTCGATGGAGTCTCTCCCCCCCCCTCTCTCTCTTTTTTATTTTTATTGCGTACTTGGCACCTGATTTTCAATTTTTATTTTTTTATTTCCCCCCCCCCACGTGATTCGAAATTGAAAATTTAAAAATTTCTTATTGTATGTGTACTTTTCGAAAAAAAAATTCAATTTTCTAATAGAAACAACTTATCGAAACTTACAACAACCGAAACGATCGAATTCTAATACTTGCCAACAAACAAACAAACAAACAAACAAACGACAAACAATAAAAATTAAAAACTCGTAAAATTTTTTTTTTTTCGTACATTTCGGCGGGGGATCCTTGAAAAAAAAATTAATAAATAATCGTGACACAATTTTTTTTTTTTTTTACGTGCCAACGGGTCAAAGTTATTTTATTGACCGCCATTTTTTTTTTTTTTTTGTGTGAGGTAAACGACAAACAATTAAAAATACAAATCGTTTGAAAACAAACGCGAAACAAACGGAAGAAATAAAAAAAAAAAAAAAAAAAAGAAAGAACAACAACAAGAACAGTTTTTTTTCCTTTTTTTTTCGCCCTCCTTCCCTTTTACGATTTTTTTTTTTTTTAAACCTCCCCCCCCCAACCCGCGATTTTTTTTTTTTTTTTCATTTTCGTCTCCGTTGGGAGACGAGCAAAAAAAAAAAAAAAATAAAAATAAAAAATATGCAGAGAGAACAACAACCGTAGATCGTAAACAAAGTTTTCGTTTCCGGGAAGGGAAAAAAAAAAAGTTTTCCGTAAATAGCTTTCTCCAGAATTTCCAAGAGCAAATAATAAAATAATAATAATAATAATACAAGGATTTGAAAGTGAAAAAAAAATCGCAACGAGGGGCGAGGAGGGGGAGGAGGAGTTTGGAGGGGACAATTTTACAATAATTCGATTCGAAAAAAAAATCTCAAACTTCTATAAGCCGTCGTTTCAAGTTTTTCTTTCCCCCTTTTCCCCCCCCCTCCTTTTTTTGCTTTCTCGCCATTTTTTTTGAAAAACGATTACTCATCGAAAAGATTAAGAGAAAATATAAAAAAAAGAAAAAAATCATGGTCGAGGATCAATGAAACACGACGATGACGATGACGACGACGACCGTTATAGTTAAATGAAATCGTAACGACGCTATAAAAAATAAAATCTATAAAAAAAAAAATGAGAGAGGAGGGAGAGGAGGGAGGGAACAGAGAGAAAGAGAGAGAGAGAGAGAGAGAGGAAAAAATTTCCAATTTCGATTTAACTGCCAGGGAAAAAAAAAAAAAAAAAATTAAACCGTCTAATAAAAAAAAAAAAACGAACGGTAAAAAAAAAGGGAAAAGGGAAAAGTCTCTGAACGGCCATGTTTTTTCTTTTTTTTTTTTAAACGATTCGTGCAATATTTATTTTTCGCGTAAGGGAATCGAAAAAGGAGTTTTTAAAAAAAGGTAGTCGAAACGGGGGGGGGGGAAGGAAAAAAAATAACAGAAAAAGGGGAGGAAGGTGAAGGAAGGGAGGAAGAAGGCGGGAAGAGAAAAAGGAGACTTTAAATCGAAATTTTTCCTAATAATAATAATAATAATACGGTATTTATTTTTCCAATTTTTTTTTTTTTTTTTTCGGGTGGAAGGAAGGAGAGAACGACGTGGGCGGAAGGGGGGGCTTTCGATATATGAAAAATTAAATTTTGAACAATCGAAAAAGAGCAAAAAAAAAAAAAAATTCTATCGAAGATCGTTACAAAAAGTAAAAATAAAAAAAAATGATAATGTGTGTGATAAAAAAAACAAAGTTTTCCTTTTTCTTTTTTTTTTCTCTTCCACCATTTTAAATATCTCGCGATTTCTACAATGGGATATTTGCCCCCCCCACCACCCCCCGGGACACTCAAAAAATTTAATAATAAAAAAAATTAAACGAAAAACGTGAAATGGGGAGCGGAAAAGAAGAGAAAATCATCATCATCGTCACCATCACCATCATCACGATCACCATCACCATCACCATCACCATCATCATCATCATCATCATCATCATCATCATCCTCCTACTCATCATAATAATCATCATCATCATCATCCTCCTACTCATCATAATCATCATCATCATCATCATTATTATTATTATTTTTTCTTTTTAAATTCAAATTCAATCCGTCGATTTTTTACCACCGACCAACAGCGAAACTTCGAGAAAAATTTATTATTAAAGTTCTTTAATTCATTCGAGTACGCAATTAGTCACGCAGTTTAAATAATTAATTCTTTCATTCCGCCATTTTATTTTATTTTACTTTTTTTTTTCAAAAATCAAAATCGTTCGAAGGGGAAGAGGAAGGGGGGAAAGGAAGGGGAAAGGGAAGGGGTGAGACAAATTAAAAAAAAAAGAAAAACCAAAACCTATCAGAAATTTTTCCTTTCCTTCCTTCCTTCCTCCCTTCCTTCCCTTCCATCCTTTCATTCCTTCCAATAAATTTCGCATAAAAAAAAAAATCTCCACGATTTAATTTATTTATTATTATTATCATTATTAATTAATTAATAATAATAATAATAATAACGATAATTACTTAAACGATGTTTACGATCTTCGTCAATTAAAATTAATTTAAATATTCTCGATTCGAATTCGAAATTAAAAAACAAGCGAGAGAGAGAGAGAAAAAAACAAAAACAAATATGGCGGATCGCCACGATTTTCTAATTGAAAAAAAAAAAAAAAAAATTGTTTCCGTACGAATTCCAAAACGAAAAAAAAAAATTCGCAGATTATTATTATCATTATTATTACTATTATCATCATCATTTTTATAATGTTATGTAATTGCATTTCCCGGTTTTTAAACGTCACATTCGGTTCACTCTTCCTCCTCCTCCTTCTCCTCCTACTCCTGATATTCCCGTTTCATTTTTTTTTTTTCTTCTGCTAAACATCATTAACAAAACGTAAAACTACCATTCGTTCGAAATTTTGTCCCAAGACGATTGATGATGATGATGATGATGATAATAATAATAATAATAGTAAGCGCGAACATAATAATAATGATGATATTAACTCACCTCATTGTGATGACGTACAAAAGGAGGCGGTAGAATTCTTATCGTGCATATGGCAAATCTCCTTTTCAAAACTGATGGTGGCACCGGTATATCTCTCGGGAGAACGGGTATCATGTCCACCTGTAAAATCAACAATAATAATAATAATAATAATAATAATAATAATAATAATAATAATAATAATAATAATAATAATAATAATAATAAACGTCTCTCCTTTCGTTTACGGTTGAAAAAATTTCAACGCGATGTAAAAAAAAAAAAAAAAAACTTGGACGAAAATTATTATCGAAAGGTTTTTTTTATACCTTCCAAAGAGAGAGAGAGAGGGGGAGGGAGGGGGAGTATAATGTAGAAAAACTACACATCAATTATTAACGGTTAAAAAAAAAAAAAAAAAAAAAAAAAAAAAAAACATAATTCGATTATAACTCAATTTACAACCCGAGTGAAAAAAAAAATTTATTTACCGTTAGGGTAGTTCCGTACGAAAATAATTCTATTATTATTATTATTATTATTATTACGTTTTAATGCGTGTATATATACCGTTCGCGTTCAAAAAAAAAAAAAAAAATTTTTCCTATAGGAATTTAATAAAATTCGAAACGACAACAACAACAACAACAACGTCTTTTACGAATGCCATACGAAAAACATTTAAATATTGGTAATGTCACATACAAAATGAAACGTATTCACGTGAACGTGGCAGAAGACAAAAACAACAACAAATTCCCCGATTGAATAAGTATATAAGACAACAACAACAAAAGATTTTTTTCTTATTCCCGGTGTAAGAAAATTTTATTTATTTTATTCTTCCTCCAAAAAATCTTTTCGTTTGTAACTTGCAGTTATGAAATTGCAGTGTAAGAGAGAGAGAGAGAGAGAGAGAGAGAGAGAGAGAGAGAGAGAGAGAGAGAGAGAGAGAGAGAGAGAGAAAGAAAATCCCCGGGAATTTTCTTTTTATTATTTCAATTTGTCACGAGTCGATGCCATGTTGCCTGCACAAATCATTACGATATGAATATTTTGTGCTCTTTTTATTACAACAACAACAACAACAAAATTTTCCTTTTAAAAGACAAAACGTCAAAAAAAAAAAAAAAAAACTTATTCGCGTAGATTTTTATACGTATGTGTACGCACACGCACGTGACGCGTGAATTTTAATAAATTATTTAAATAAACAACAGGGACAACAAACGACATTGACAAAGACACAATTAACAACAAACACAACACGAATTACAATTATTATTTATTTATTTATTTTATTTATATATTATCAAACGATCTACCTGTCAACCGTGTAAAAACAATAATAATAATAATAATAATAACAATTTTTATAATTTATTTATTATTATTATTATTATTATTATTTAAATTTCAAACAACGTTTATTAATAACAAACTAAACTATGTGAGTATATCAATGAGAACGCGTTATCATAACTTTTTTTTATGCGGCAATCATAAATTCATTTACGATCGAAAACTATGAAGCGTTGAACGCATGATTAAAAAAAAAAAATAAAAAAAAAAAAAAATAATAATAATAATAATAATAATAATAATAATAATAATCATGCGTTGCGTGTAACTAATACGCAGTTTTTTTTCTTTTCCCCCCAGCAAGTTTCGTGATGATAGCGAAAGCAGAGAGAGAGAGAGAGAGAGAGAGAGGGAGGGAGACATATAAAAAATTTACGAGAAAAAAAATCATAGAGTAACAAAATAAAAAAAAAAATTCTCACGCGCATGCTTAATTTACAAATATGTGAAAAACAAAAAAAAAAAAAAAGAAATTTTTCTTTTTCTTTTTTTTTTTTTGTTTTCCGTTCCACATCTCACTCACTCACTCTCTCTCTCTTTTGTTTTTTTTTTTTTTTTTTTTTTTTTTTATGAGAATGGTTTGGTTTACTTTTAATTTTTTATTAGGAATACCCGGGGGGGATACGAAACCAAAAACGAATCACAAAGAAAAACAACCCAAAACAACAACAACAACAACAAATACGACAAAGACGACGACAACAGAAGCAGCAGCAGCAGCAGCAACAACAGGAGGGAAAAGAAAACGAAAAGAAGAAAATAAATTAATAAAATCTAATCGTGATTATAGGGAAATAAAAGTCGATAAACCAAATTATTTTTTCCACATCGAATACGTTTTATTTCCAAATACATCACCCAAAACCATAGACGTCATTTGTTGGAATCAAGTGGCAAAAATTTTTTATGAAAATTCTCATTGTGCCATAGAGGTACACGCCGTTGACAATCTCAATTGGATTTATTTTCGCGTGAATCACAATTTGGAATTGGGTGACGATGAAATTCTCGTTATGCGTTCTCACGTGTTAAAAATCACACTTAGTTTGGGTAATAAAAAATTCGGTGATCGTGCCAAATCCGATAATTCTAAAAAATTTTACACTCTTCTTTTCGCACGCGACGATGGCGACGACGACGACGATGGGAACGACGGGAATGACGATGGGGATTGGGATGACGACAGCGAAGAAAATGGCGAAGTTGAAGAAAATTTCGCATTTAAAAAACAAATTTTTCAACCCGTTTCCGACACCGTTGAAAATTTACCCTACATAAGTTTTTACAAAGAACATTTAACGTATTTACAACAATTGTACGTCGCTCTCGACACAACGATCGAAACCAACGAGTATCACAAAAGATTAATTAATAAAATGTCCGGTCTCACGCGCGAATACAACGACGAAACCGTTAAAAAAATCAAAACGACAAAAATATCGTCGATGAAAAATATGACTCCTGGTACACCTTTGGAACCCGCACAACCCAACAAAAAAGAAAAAAAAACCGTTAAAAAAAAAGAAAGCGGTAAAGATGGCGTCGGTGGCGTTGGCGTCACCGGTGGCGGCGCCACCGGCGGCGGCTCCTCCGGTGATTCCATTGAAATTTTAATACCCGGTGAAAATTTTTTCTCCGGTTCCGAAATAATCGAAAACGTTGTCAAATACAATTTAAAAGAAATTCCATTTTTTTACAATTTGATAAGGATAATAAATCCTCTCACGGATCAACAGAGAAAATATTACAATCCAATGTCCGTAACTCTCCACCATTGTGATTTTTTACCCGTTAAAGATTTACTCAAATCCGGTATAACTCATTTGAAATTTCGATATATCGTTTTCGACGAGTTTTCTGTCGAATCGAATCCGTATCCCGTAGACGATAAAATCCGTATTGATTTCACGAGAACGTTTTTCACCGATGGAAACCACGTAAACGACATTAAATTCATACATTTTATACAAACCGGAGGACTTAAAATTCATTTGTTGGGTGATTTCAAACGTGAAAAACCAATCAAATCCTCTTCTCTATACGATGAACACAAAATATCGACGAGAAAATTTATTAATAAACGTTTTTTTAATAACGAAAATGATCACCACCGCGATGATGATGATGATGATGATATATTTAGTGTTATTGGCACGGGTTACGTTGATTTATCCAGTCTCATGACACAACCGCATAGAATTTTTTTCAAATGTAATTTACTCATTCCTCCACCCAACGAAAATGATGATGATGATAATAACAACACAATGACAACGTGTTCGTCGAAAAATTATAAAAATTTCATAACAATTTACCAATTTTATAATTACAAGAGAAAAAAAACAAAATGGGAATTGTCGAAAACGTCATCGATTCCATCCGTACCCACGCTATGCGTTTCCGTTAGACTCAATTACACGCCGTTAAAACTATACCAGACCGTTTTAACGTATCCAAATTTGTACAATAAGTTATTTGTCGTCATAAGAGATGAAAACATATCCGAATCCCTTTTTAAATCCATCGAAAACGAGACCGCGTGTGACATTTTACACTCCCTTGATTATTTTCAAAAAAATATCTGTTGTAAAAGACCGCTCACGGTTAATCACGAGGAAAATGTCGTTTCCTCGCACGAGGAAAAGAGAAAAAATAATCAATTGACTGGATTTTTAATAAAAACAGGCGATAAAACATTGGTCTATGTTGAAGGACCATTATATGGTTCTATAAAACAAATTTGGGCAATAGTATCAAACATGAAACCGAATCAGGGTCATGTTCTCTACGACAGTTCGTTGATATTTCCCAAAAGAATTTATGATAGTTTTTTACAAATAAGTGGTGGATTTTTAAAAATATATTTAAATGATAGATTCGAAACTGAATATCCATCACTCATCGGGTATGGTGGTCCTTGTTGTTGCATGCCAGAAATAACATGGAAAACATTGATCAACATAAACATGTTGATGCATTGTAAATCGATTAAATTGGCTGTGCATAATAATTTATTTCCAGATCCTGAATCATTATTTTCACTATCACTTCAAATAGGTAATCCACCACAATTGCAAAAAATAAAAAATAAAAAAACAATAAATTCATAATAATTAATTATAAACATTTTATCGAGAACAAAAAAATTAATTAATAACAATCGAATATCATTAATAAAAATAAATAAATAAACAAAATTATCGAGTGTTTTTTAAAAATTGTAATACTTATCAAAAAAAATAATAATAATAATGAATGAAATAAATAAAATAATTAAATTTTATGTATTTTTTTTCTAAATTTTTGTCCCATCATTATTTTAATCATAACATAATCTCATCCATTATTGTTTACATGAAGAGAATGAATCTTGAAATATCTACATTACATTTTTATCAATCAAAATAATTACGCTCGATTAAAATATGTGTCATTGTAAATAAAATTAATTTAATTATGTAAAATTGTATAATCAAACGATACATAATCCTTATCAAATAAATAATAATTAATAAAAAAAAAAATGGAAAATGATGGTAACAAAAAAAAAACGAACGTACCAGTTGAGGTTATGTACGACAATTTATCCGAACCCCATTTAAAACACAATTTTATAACCGAAATCCGATAATATTTATAACTGATCCGCGTTTCGTTATTAATAAAAAAAATGTTCCGAATCCGAACAAATATTTATATAAATTAATATTATTAAATTAATTTTCATTTAAATATTAACACTAATTGACCCAAATACAATCAAGTTCCGCCTTTGCCTAAAAAAAAAAAAATTTGTCGTGGCATTAACCAAAATGATGAGAATCAAAATCATCGGATAATTATTTTATTTATTTATTTATTTTTACATAATATTCCTTTAAAGTATTTATGTGTTTGTATTCATTATTATTATTATTACGTATTTGTCCTTGAATAAATAAAAAATTTGTAAATAAAATAACCGTTTTTTTTCGACTTTTGTGTATAAATAATTTTTGCAATATCGAAAATCTTTATGGTAAATTTTACATACACAAAAAAAAAAATGTTATAATTGTTAAATAAATATTAATCATCCTTCGAATGATTTTTTTGTATCATCAAATTCTAGGTACAGGTTTGATAAAAATATTTAAACTCATGTACCTAATGTCATTATTTATTTATCACTTTGTAAATATTTAAACAATAATTAAACGAGTAAATAAATATCATTCATTCATACATTTATTTTATGCAATTATTCGAATAAATCTTCTTTGTATGATGAGTACTAAATAATTATTTTTAAATTAAAAATTTTTCTTTTTGTTAAATATTAAATAACACCAGAAGAATTTTATAAAAAGTTTAATCGGTTTTGTCATTAAAACTTTCTTTCCCCTCTCCCCTTCCGAGTTTCAATTAGGAAACTTTATTAAATAATTATTATTTTTCATCGAACAATCAGACATAATATTATTAATAAATTAACAAAAAAAATTTTTTATTATTATTATTATTTATTTAAATATTTTATCAATCTCTAATCAAATATAAATTAAAATAAATATAAAAAAAAATTTTATAAAACTATGAACGATGTTGATTTCGTCTTGTCTTATTTGTTTGTTTATCTTTGTAATCCTTCATCATTTTCAAGTTTATTATTATCATTATTATTATTATTATTATTAGGTATGTTTAATTTTAAATCAATAGGTTTATCATATCCCATCATTTTAATATAATGATTTATATCTAAAAATGATTCGCTGACGACAAAAACCGGTTTTCCTTTTATGCACATTGTTGTGAATATCGGTAAACTATCTGGGATTTTAATATCTTCGATTTTAAAATTATTCTAAAAACAAAAATAAAAAAATTAATTAATTATTCCATTAAATGCAATATTGATTGATGGTAAACAAAATGGAGGAGCATCATCATTGATGATCATACTTTGACTTGTTGTAGAAAAAACGATAACGTTATGGCTTCGTATGTTTTTTTCAATGAATTATATTTGATTTCAGTCACGTATTTTTTCGTGAGCGAATGAATGAGAAAAGGTGTTACAAATGTGAAAAAACCCACGGCGCTTCCCAATCCTAAATTCAAACTTAAATTTTCACCGGTCAATATGTTTTGTATTATAATTGCTTGTACGAATATGCCACCGAGACTCGAACAACACGTAAATACTTTGAGTCCTTTTATTTGAGGTGTTAATTTACCATAATAAATAATTTCATCATCATTATTATCCCCATCATCATTCCGACCAGTTTTGGTTATTTTAACCGATTCTCCAACGTTTTCAATTTTTATCTTTTCATTATTATTATTATTTACACTCGTACAATAATAATTTTTATTAATTAAATTATAATTTATCGAATATTTTCCACCATATTTATTTATGTAACCGCCAAAAGGTTTCATCAATAGAAATTTATTAAGTACCGGTTTATTATTATTATTATTATTACATTTAAACAAATTCGAACGATATAATAAAATTTTTATAAATTTTTTCATTTCAAATCTTTTTTTTTTAAATAATTCACATTCTACGAATGAATGAAAATAATAATAATAATAAAACATAAAATTATTATTATTAATAAATTTTTTTTTTACGTTTTTATTAATACAACCGGATTTTATCAGTTAAATTTACACAACTACCATAATTATTGAAATCCTTTTACTTTTTTTTTTACTTTTTTTTTATTAATACATAATTAAATTTTATTTAAATAATTTTTTTTTTTTTAATTTTTAATGATTATTAAACGTGAAATTCTTGTTTTATTTGAATCGATTAAACGTTCGTAAAATTAACTAACGAGATCGAAATTGATTATGCCGCCATTTTGAATTTTAGCCAAAAAAAAAAAAAACCGTGTCGAGTCAAATGTGGTTCATTTGTAACGACAAAAATAAATTATTGGATTAAAATAATAATAATAATAAAAATGGTGAGTTTATTAATAATCATTATTATTATTATTATTTCATTTAATTAATATTTTAATCCTTTTTACCTTCAATAAAATTTTATTGTAAACGTAAATATTAACGTTAACGTTAACGTTCCCAACTTGTAAGTGACAATACATAATAATAATAATAATTTTCTTTCTTTTTGTTCATGTTTCCAACTCAATATACATATATTTTTCATTATTAATAAATTAATAAATATCTTTTTTATAATTAATATTAAAATTTTATAAATATTCAAGATGGAAAATCATAATAAAATTATTAATTTTTATTAAATAAATTATTTATTATTAAACCTTTTACAATTTTTATAATTACTTATTTTATTAACAATTAATTAGTTACAATTTATTAACAATTAAAAACTATTATTATTATTATGTTTATTATTTAGGAGAGAATGGAATCGGAGCAATTTTTTTTAAAATGGAATAATTTTGAAAATAATTTAACTTCTGGTTTTGCCGATTTACTTAAACAAGAACTCATGGTCGATGTGACTTTGGCTGCAGAGGGGAAAATCATTCAAGCGCATAAAATTATTTTATCGATTTGTAGCTCATATTTTAGAAACATGTTTCAAGTAAGTTTGAAATTCATGACGACATTTAACAAAATGTTTAACTAATTTCTCCCCCCCCTCCACCCATCTGAATCATCATGTGCATCTTGATTTTTCCAGTTGAATCCTTGCCAGCATCCCATTGTGGTCCTCAAGGATGTAGGCTATCAAGAATTAACAGACATGCTTGATTTCATGTATAAAGGAGAAGCGAACGTTCGACAACAAGATTTACCTTCTTTTCTTAAACTAGCGGAAACTTTGAAAGTAAAAGGATTGGCCGGAAGTCCCACAGAGGTAGCCTATTATTATCATTATTATCTCACCATTATCATTATCATATACATACTCATTAATTTCTTTTTTGTAGTGGGATGAAAATTTGAAAAAACCATTTGGATCTCACATGTCTACAATCACCAAAGATAAATTATCCCAAGTCAATAATAATAATTTATTAAATCATGTTTTACAAGAAGATGAAGAAGAAGATGAAAACATGGCTGCCAAAAGAAAACGAAAAAGGTTTACATATTTACCTCCTACTACTACTACTACCATCCTATCATGTTTAACCTAAAAATTTACTTTGAATCAAATTTTACAACCTTTCCCTAAACCTTCACTAAAAAAAAAAAAAAAAAAAGGGTTTCCAAGTATAAAATACCTACAAAATTTGTTCTTTTTTTTTTTTTTTCAGGCCTTTATCCCAAAATTTAGAAGATAAATGTGATGATCATCATTATTATTATTTAAACGACAACGTTGAAAGTTTCGAATGTGATGTGACAATGAAAGATGAAAGACTCGATGACACAAGTTTAGATTCATATGGTAAGTCAAGTTAAAAGAAAAATTGTAGCTATTTTAATAGTAATAATAATAATAATGACACAACCATATTTATTTAGAAGAAAGTAATAATAATAATGATAATGATAATGATAATGATAATGATAATGATAATTCTACCGTTAAAAATGATGATGATGATGATGATGATGATGCTGGACCTTCTAATTTAGATGATAATTACGAACCATTGCCTCAAGGTAAGACAGACAAATAATTCATAAATTTTTATTCGAAACAAATTTTTTTTTTTTTAAACTTCAATTGTGTTAAATAATGTGATTATTATTATTATTATTATTATTATTATTATTATTATTATTATTATTATTATTATTATTATCATGTTTTGTTTTTTTTTTTTTTTTTGTTTTTTTTTTTTTTTTTTTTCAAATTCTTTCGTGTAAAAAGTTTAACGGTTATTAAAAAAAAAAAACTGAAAAAAGGTAAATATAATTAAATCCAACTCGAAATTGTTTCCTCCCGTGACGTCACCATCACAGAAATACCATGGGGATACATATGTATTTTAAAATTGATTGACCCCAAGTTGACCTTTCAACCCACCACGACATGCACACAGTCTCATCCTTGGATTAAATTATAGAGCTTGAAAAAGAGGATTTGATTTTGACTTGTCTCGCAATGAGAACAAAGAGCACCACCAAGGGACCACCAAGGGAGTCCAGATTGAGAAGATGACACCGAGTTCCCAAGGGATAAAATATAAACTCGGGAAAACGCGCAATAATGGATGCAACTCGCATTCACAAAAACTTAGCTTAAGTCATCATAGCAAAACCTACAAAACCTACAAAACCTGATATTGGATTGCGAAAAAACATTGGATAATAATAATAATTTAAAAATAGTAATTATTATTATTATTATGGTTTTTTTTTTTGATAAGCAATGATTTTAAAAAACTAATTTAAATTTAATTTTTTTTTTTCTAATGATAAGAACTTATTATTATGATTATCATAAAAAATTATAATTAATTAAAAAAAAGGAAAAAACCATAGAGATAATAAACGAAGAGGAAGCCATATTGGAATCGACCGCAAAACTACATTCGGACAAAATTTATGAATCTACCAACCAACAATTACTAAAATATTATCCGGGAATAAATGATGATGATGATGATGACTGACGAAGAAGAAGAAAGAAGGAGAGAAAAGAGAGAGAGAGAGAGAGAAAATATATCAATCTCTTACTTTGATTGGTGATCCAGTACAGCATCCGGATTAAATAAAAACGATCGAAATTTCAAATGTTCAGGATTTGATTTTTAAAAGAACGGCGCATCAACGGTTTACAATTTCAGTCCTCTGTCATCTATAAAAAAAGAAGAAGAAAATTTAAACGTTTAATTACAATAATGATAATAATTACATGTAATCGTTTGTTGTTTGTTTTTCGTTGTAAATGTTTGTTTGTTGTATACACATAATCGTTTTCGTTCCATGTTTTGTCTTGTTTTCTTTTCTTTTCACACTCATCTTTAATGAAATTAGACATTTTTTTTTTTTTTTTTTTTTTTTTGTTTTCTTTTTTAGATTTTTGGAACACGAGAAGAACGAGCAAACCCCTTTCCGTTATTTGGTCATTTTTCAATTTCGACTGTTTGGAAAATAAATCCGAGTGTAAATTGTGTGGGAAAATATTCAAAGCGAGTCCCAAAACGGGCACGGCATCCGTTAAATATCATCTTCATTTTGCTCATCGTATACTTAGAAACGACGGTGGAGGATTGCAATGATGTGGAACCGTTATCAATACAATGGTTTTTATCATCATTATTATCATTATTATTATTATTCGGAATACGAATCGAATGAGGTAGAGAATGAGAGAGAGAGGGAGGGAAAGAGGGAGAGGAGGGGCAGGGAAGAGAGGGAGGGAAAGAGAGAAAAGAGGGAGAAAGAGAGAGAGGAGGGAAAGAGAGAAAAGAGGGAGAGAGAGAGAGAGAGAGGGAGGAAAAGAGAGAAAAGAGAGAGAGAGAGAAGGGGAGGGAAAGAGAGAAAAGAGAGAGAGAGGGAAAGAGAGAAAAGAGAGAGAGAGAGGGAGGGAAAGAGAGAAAAGAGAGAGAGAGAGAGAGAGAGAGAGAGAGGAGGGGCACAGAAGGAGGGAGGGAGAGAGAGAGAGGTGGGGCAGGACAAGACAGGAAAGGGAGGGAGAGGAGGGGCAGGACAGAACAGGGAAGGGAAGGGAGAGAGAGATTCAAACATGCACTCTCTTTCATTCGCTTACTTACTTACACACGTGTGCACAAAAATTATTATTATGTTTTATTCACTATTCGTTTTCGATAAGTAGTCACAAACAAACAAACAAACAAGCACAAACACGTGTAATTTTTGTTTTTGTTGTTGTTGTTGTCGTTTGTCGTTTGTCGTACACCACGTTAATACAACATTCTTAGAGGGGGGGGGGTGGAAATGATTTTATTGAATTATTTGTTTTCATTACAGATTTCACATTTCGATTCAATCCGAAACGTGTGCCGATATGGGATTTTTACACGGTCAATTACGACTCCGATTTGGCCACGTGTAAAATATGTTATAAAAATATAAAAACACGTAGAAAAGACGGTACGAGAAACGTTTTGAGTCACATGAGAAACGTTCACCCGAACGAATATCAATTGTCGTTAACGTTCAAAGAAAAATGGACGGCTATGAAGAAAACAAAAAAACATAAACAGGGTTTCTATTAATTATTTAAGTAGTAGTCTATGATAAATAATAATAATAATAATAATAAACGAACGACAATAAATTATTTAATAATAATAATGATAATAATGATGATAAGATTCGCTTATTAATATCGCGTTGTTATTTTACGTTTATGTAAATATTAATAAAATTAATTTATGTACGATTTTATTTATTTATTTATTATTAATTGTTATTGTTATTGTTGATTATAATTAATAATTGTTATTGTTGTTGTTGTTGTTATGTATATAATTAAAAGGGCCTTATTTTATTATTATTATTATTGTTAAACGCGTTGTTTAATTGATTTATTTATTTATTTATTTATTAAACGAATTTTTTTTTTTAATATTTTTAATCGTGGTAATTTTTGTTCGTTGTTAAAGGGGGGAGGGGGTAGAGAGGGGGAGGGGATTCGAACGAATAAATGAGATCTGCTGCGCACGCGCGTGTAATGTGTTTTCGCTTTATTTTTTTTCCCGTTAAAATTTAAACTTGCACACGCACACACACGCGCGTATCTGATTATTATTATTGTTATTATTATTATTATTATTTACTATTATTATTATTATTATTATTATTATTATTACTGTTATTATTATTATTATTATTGTTATTATTATTATTATTACTGTTATTATTATTGATATTAATTTTTTTTTTTTTTAATTTGAAAATAAAATGATAATTATTATTATTATTATTACATCGTTACGATTTCTTTTTTCCCTCTCCCCCCCCCCCGTTCCCCGCCACCTTTCGATTCAATTCGATTATCGATTATCGATCCATTTATAACCATTTTAAATATTTAATCTTTTAATTTAAAATAAAAAAAATTTTTTGCAGGTGTCAATAATTATCATTATTATTATTATTATATGTTTTTTTATCTTTAATTAGGCCAATCGTCATTTCATTTCATTTTTTGTTTTCGATAAGTTTAGTTATTAATTATCATTTTTTTTTAGTGTGAAAATATTTCATTATTATTATTATTGTGTTTCATTCATTCAATTATTTATTTATTTTAAATCAAATTTTTTTTTTTCAATCTTTTTTGTGCTTTTTTGTGCTTTTTTTTTTTTTTTTTTTACTTAAATGTAAGAAATTCCATCTTATTTAAATTATTAAAAATCGAGATTTTTATTCAAGATTAAATTTTTCTTGTAATCTTATCATTTATTTCATTATTATTATTATTATTATTATTATTATTATTATTATTAAAATATATATAATTTTGTTTTTCCTAACAAACAGTGAGAAATGGCGGTTTATATCGACTAATCAACCTATTTATTTATTTTATTTTATTATTAAAATGAATAACTTGCGGATTTTTTGGTTGTTGTTGTTGTTGTTTGTCAACATACTTCCCGTTACGATTCAGGTAAAAAAATTTAACATTTATACCTAACGTACGTACGAATCAGTTAATAATTTATTTACATTTCAGGATTGCGTTTGGTACGACGAATGTAATAGTGAAAATGGAAAAATACAAAATTGTCTGGCGAAAGACACGAAACCGAAACCGTTTCGAAACGAAAATAAAAGCATGGAAATCTTACAAGAAAAATGTTTTCATTTTTTAAAAAAGCACAAAGGTAAACCTTCACCCCACCCCTCCCCCACCATTTTTTTTTAATTAAATTAATATTTTGCACGTGACAAATAAAAAAAATCGCGCGCGCGCGAGGAGAAACTTGTCGCAACTTTGAAAAACGTTGCTCACGCCGATTACGTACGAGTATGCGCGCGCATGCGGGCATATGCCCGCATGCGCGTACGTTTAACGTCATTCGAACGTCGAGTTTCGTTTCAACGGTTTTTTCTCAATTTTAAATTAAATTTTAAACGTAAAAGTAATCACATTAATACCATTAAACGCGAATTGTAAATCGTGAAACAAGGGAAGACATGTTGCATTTGATAAATTAAAAGTCGTACAAGAATTGTACCGTATGTTAACGTTTGTCCAGGTAATGAATTTTGCTGCAGCGATAATCAATTGGATACGATGTTGGAAAGCATGAGTCACGCGAGTAACATATTCGGAAGGTGTCCGACGTGCATGATAAATTTAAATCAACACATTTGCCACATGACGTGTTCACCGGATCAACATAAATTTATGCAAGTCGTCAAAACGTACACGAACAAAGAAGGAAGTAAGTAAGTTTTCCTTTCATGTGTTCGTAACCTTTCCAAATGAAACTCATGCACACACGCACACACACACATCTCTTTATTACAGAGGAGTACATAACGGAAATCAATTTTTACATTGAAGAAGAATATGAGCAAAAAACGTTCGACTCTTGTAAGTAAGTATTATTATTATTATTATTCACCTCGAATCCTTTCCGAACATGCAAAACAAACAAACTAATCGATCGATCTATCGATTCATTTTAGAGAAATAATAGTGCCATCGACGGGTGGAAAAGCCATCGATATTTCCTGCGGGATCGTGAGTCCTACAAATCCATGCACTCCCGACAAATGGTTTAAATTTTTTGGAGATTTCAACGAAAACATCGTCGCACCTTTCGACATCAATTACGTAACGACACCCTCGAACGGATACGAAACGTTAAATATCCACGATGACGTACTTCCGTGCAACGAATCTTACGAAGTAATAATTATGACGTCACTCGTAACGCAAAACAAAATATATAAAAATAAACGTGTTTGTCTGTCTTCTGCTTTACAGTCATCGAAGGCATGCAGTTGTAACGATTGCGAATCGAGTTGTACCGTACCGTTTGTTTACTCGGAACCACCCGCGCCTTTTCTAATCGGAAACATGGATGGAATCCTTTTCATATTAAACGTGACTTTCGGGATTTTGGGCGTCGCCACATTCGTACTTTTAATACGTTTTCATTATTTCACAAAACACGGTAGTAAAAATCCGTTAAAAAAAAAAAAAAAAATTGCGACGCCATGTTTGATATATATATAATTTTTTTTCGCATTTAGAGGAAGAATTCCGAAATTCCCATTTGGGGGAAGAAGACAAAACAACCGATGACGACGGCGACAAATTGAAAAAAAATCTCGGGGATAAATTAAAGGAAAATTTGGAAAAATTCTTTACGAAATGGGGAATCGGTAGGAATACGCACACGCACGCACACAAATTTAAGCGGGGGGAGGGGGGAATTTAAAAAAAAATTTAATTTTTTTCCAGGTTGTTCTAAAAGACCCGTCGTAATTTTATTCGCATCCTCGTGGATCGTCGTCGGTCTTTGTCACGGTGCCTTAAATTTAAAAATAACGACCGAACCTACGGAAATATGGGCATCCCCCGATTCTCCAACTCGTTTGGATAAAAATTATTTCGACACGAGGTAAACCTATTTTTCCGATTCGAAGAAGGCGGTGGTGCTAAAAAAAAAAATTTTCGTCTTTCCTTTCAGATTCGCGCCATTTTACAGAACGAATCAAATATTCATCAAAACGAAAGGTTTGAAAAATTTCAAATGGATTTCGCCGTTTGATGATAATTTCACCGTGGAATTCGGACCCGCTTTCAATTTCCAATTTCTAGAACAAGTTTACAAATTGCAAATGAACGTGCAAAATGTGAGAATTAAAATTAAGAGAGTTAAAACGCATCACGCGTAAGAGCGTAATAATTTCACCCAACCCTCCCCCTCCCCCCAATCTTCCTTTTTTTTTTTTAGCTCGCATCGGACAAAGATTACAATTTGAAAAATATTTGTTTCGCACCCGTGAAAAATGAATTTTTCAACGAGGACACCGTCGATTATTGCACCGTTCAAAGCGTTTGGGGATACCTTCAAAACGACATCGAGAGGTATAGAAACGACACAGATGCTTTGTACAACAAATTACAAAAATGCCTGAGGTGACGAAATCGAACAAACGAACAAACGAACGTACCTGAATCATCGAACGATGTAAAAAAAAATCGATTTTTTTTTTTTTTTTTCCAGAAATAATTTCGATCCCGATTGTCTCGCACCTTTCGGAGGACCCATTTTTTCTCCCCTCGCCGTCGGGGGTCACCGTGACAAAAAAAATCAAAGTCGAGAGGACGTACCTGACAATTACCTTCTCGCGACCGGACTTTCCTTAACGTTTTTACTAAACAACGGAAATCATTTGACGACGTCATCGAAAGCACTCAAATGGGAAAAAACGTTGGAAGATTTTTTTCAATTTTTCCTCCTTTTTACTCCGGTACTCGACTCGATAAAAAAAAAAAAATTTATCTTTTCTAGGTTTATCGAATACCTGAAAGAATGGAAAATTAATAACAAACCGAAATTCATGGAAATCGCTTTTTCCGCCGAGAGATCCATTCAAGACGAAATAGAAAGAGAATCGCACGCGGAAATGCTAACCGTCATAATAAGTTATTTGGTCATGTTTTTATACATAACGATATCATTGGGAAAATTGACCAAATTTTCTTCTCTATTGGTAACACGATAACAACAACTTCCGCCGGAAATTTTACTCTGTGACAAAAACAACAACAATTCGATAACGAATTTTTTTTTATTTATTAATTTTATAGTTAGAAACGAAATTCACTCTCGGACTCGGTGGAATTCTAATAGTTTTAACATCCGTATTATCATCGTTGGGAATTTTTTCCTATTTGGGAGTTTCGACAACTTTACTAACGATCGAAGTATTATCGACAATCATCATTATTATTATTATTATTACTATTATTTTCTCCAAAATTTTCTTTGAGGGGGAAAAAAAATTAATAATAATAATGTTTTCTATAGGTGATACCGTTTTTGATACTCGCCGTCGGCGTCGACAACATTTTCATATTGGTTCACACGTATCAAAAATGCAAATCCTACGGGAAAAATGCGACCGTTGAACAAGATATTGGAAAAGCGTTGGGAAAAGTCGGACCATCTATACTACTTTCGAGCTTGTCGGAAGCTGCTTGTTTTTCCATCGGTAGTATTAGTAGTAGTAGTGGCAATGGTAGCAGTAGCAGTAGCAATAACAGTAGCAGTATCAGTAGCAGTAGTAGTATCAGTAGTACCAATAGTAGTAGTAGAAGCAATAGTAGTAATGGCAGTAGTAGCAGCAGTAGCAGTAGTAGCAATAGTAGTAGTAACAGTATTAATAGTAGTAGTAGTAGTGGTAGTGGTAGCAGTTGTAGTGGTAGTAGTAGTAGTAGTGGTAGTGGTAGCAGTTGTAGTGGTAGTAGTAGTAGTATTGGCAGTGGTAGTGGTAGCAGTAGTAGTAGTCTTAGTAGTAGTGGCAGTCGTAGAAGTAGTAGTAGTAGTAGCGGTAGCGGTAGCAGTAGTAGCAGTAGCAGTAGCACTCATACGATTTACTCTCGTTCTAAAAAAGCATGACGCAAACCTAACGCACAACCCGTCGTTTTTTTTTTTTTTAATAGGTACGCTCTCCAACATGCCGGCTATAAAAACATTCGCACAATACTCATCCGTCGCAATCATTTTAAATTTTCTACTACAAATAACTTGTTTCGTCAGCATTCTATCACTCGATTCGAAAAGGGAAAGGGTAAGACAAGAGTCGAAATCGCCTTTAAATGATTCTCATTAAAAAAATTTTTCTTTCTCATCGTAAATTTCTACCACCATTTTTTTCAGAAAAACTACGCCGATGTATTTTGTTGCATAAAAGTCAAAAAATCAAACAACAGCAACAACAACAAAAAATCCGACAGCATTTTATATTACATAACTAAAAATTATTACGTACCGTTTTTAATGAAATCATGGGTTAGAATATTTGTCGTCATGGTGGGTGCGAAAAACAAAAATATTTGTCGCGAATTAACAAATTAAAAAACTCATTATTATTATTATTATTATTATTATCATTTAGATGTTTTTGACGTTCTTATACGGATCCATTTATTTCACGACTCAAATCGAAAAAGGTTTAGATCAAGAATTATCCATGCCTGAAGATTCTTACGTCATCGATTATTTCAAGGTCATTTTCTCGCGCCTTTTTCCCCCCGAAAAAAAAAAATTTCTCACCGTCGTCGACATTACTAATAGAAAATTTTGTCTTTTTTACAGTTCATGAAAGATTTGTTATCCGTCGGTCCCCCCGTTTATTTCGTCATACAAAACGACATAAATTTCACGTCTACGAAAGAAGTGAATGCGATTTGCGGAACCGTGGGTTGCGACAGCGATTCCTTCGTGACTTATTTAAGCAAAGCGTCCAAACATTCAAACGTGTACGTAAACGTTCTCGAACGAGAGAGAGAGAGAGAGAGAGAGAGAGAGAAACTAACGTTTTTTCATTCATTCATTCATTCATTCATTCATTCATTCATTCAGGTCGTATTTGGCAAAATCTCCATCGTCGTGGATCGACGATTATTTCGATTGGTTATCGAATTCGAATTCGTGTTGCAAAGAATTCAAAGTCAATTCTTCGTTTTGCCCGCATCAAAGAGAGGAAGGCTGTCAAAGTTGTCAAATTCATCTCGTCGATTGGAGACCCACGAAAAATGATTTTAAAAAATATTTACCTTATTTTTTAAACGATAATCCTGATGTGAATTGCGTCAAAGGAGGTCATCCCCTTTATTCCACGGTTTGATTTTCACTTTTACACTCACTTTTCCATTCACTTTTCCACTTTGTCACTTTTATAAAAACCTGAAAAAGACAAAATGAGGATAATTAATAATAATAATAATAATAATAATAATAATAATAATAATGTTTTTGTTTCAAAGGGAGTCAATTTCGAATACGACACGACTGGAGAATTGGTGGTCAAAGATAATTATTTCATGTCTTATCACACGTCTTTGAAAACATCAAAAGATTTTTACATGGCTTTGGAAAATTCCAAAAACATAGCACGTCACTTATCCGAAATTCTAACGGGAAAATTAAATCGAACCATTCAAGTTTTTCCATATAGGTAAACACAAACAACGAGGAAGAGAGAAAGAGAGACAGAGAGGGAGGAGAGAAAGAGAGAGGGAGGAGAAAGAGTGCGAGGGAGGGGCGAGAGAGGGGGAGGAGAAAGAGTGAGAGGGAGGGGGAGGAGAGAGAGGGAGCGAAATTTTCTTTTTTTTTCTTTCTTTCTTTCCAGCATTTTCTACGTTTTTTACGAGCAATATTTAAACATAGTCGAAGACGCTCTCGTGTCACTCGGCTTATCACTTTTGGCCATTTTTTCCGTCACTTTTTTATTCACGGGTTTCGATTTGAAATCATCATTATTATTATGTTTAACCGTTTCATCGATACTCGTTTCAATGACCGGAATGTTACACTGGTGGAACATAACGTTAAATGCCATTTCCTTAGTCAATTTATTAGTGGTGAGTAATTTTCGTTTGTTCTCTCCGGGGGTCAAAGTTCACGACCTGCATTTAAATTTTTGGTTTTTTTTCTAGTCCGTCGGAATCGGCGTTGAATTTTGCAGTCACATTTTACACGCGTTTAAAACGAGTCGTGAAAAAACGAGAATTTTAAAAGCATCCGATGCCGTCACCGTCATGGGTACCTCCGTAAGTTTTTCATTATATATAAAAAAAAATTTTCTTTTTTCAAATGGGAAAACTTCAATTCAATGGTTTTCTTTTTTTCGTTTCCAGGTATTTTCCGGGATAACCCTAACGAAATTTTTAGGGATTATCGTATTGGCATTCGCTCAAACTCTCATGTTGAGAACTTTTTATTTTAAAATGTATTTGGGTATCGTACTCATCGGAGCTATTCACGGCCTTATTTTATTACCCGTACTATTGAGTTACGTGGGATGAAAATTTTTTTTTTTTTTTTTTCCCCGATACGATTAATGTAAAGTTTTATACGAAGATTATATATAAATTTCTTTCTTTTTTAAATATAAATTATTACGAAGAAAAATTGTCCACCATTTTATTGGTAGGAGAGTGAACAAACATCGTTATCGGGATAAATTCCCGAATTTCGTTGGTGCTATTTATTATATAGGATCCCGAAAAATGTGGGCCGTTTCACATAGTGCGATGTCCTGGATGGTTTTTCCCTTTAAATTTCCTTTTATGGAATGTGGCATCATGGCTCCCAGTGATGCTCCCACGATGACCCGAATCGTTTCCGTTTCCGTTCCCCACATCCTGGCCATTTCAGCCTTTTGTCTGCTTCTTTGGCTGTCTGGTGTGTTCTTCCGACGGCACGGATACTTCAATCAGTTTAAACCTTTTATCCGCATTATGTCTGAGGATGATATCCGGTTTGTTAGCTGGCACAGTTCTATCGGTGCGGTTTAGTTGATCGTATAGAACCGTGCGTGAACCTGCTGACGTAACCGGACTTGTACCATTCCATGGGTAATCCATCCATTCCATATTTGCGACAGATATTCCAAGGTAGATATCTACAGATGTTATTGTGCCTCTCTTGATATTCATATTTTGCCAGTATCGGACAACCGGAAATTAAATGATCGATTGTTTCCGACGGCGATCGACAAATTCGGCGGCACATGTCATTTAGGCTTATTATTATTATTATTATTATTATTATTATTATTATTATTATCGAAAATCGTAAAGTAATTAAAAAAAAAAAACTTTTTTTGATTTAAAAACTCTCGAAATTATTCGAAAACAAACATAAAATGACCGAGTAAAATTCTAGAAAAATCCCCTACGGAAGCCACGTAAAAATTAATAATAATAATAATAATAATAAACACGGAATAAAAAAGGGCCATAATTCGAAACGACGACAACAACCCCAACCGTCAAAAAAATTTACATTCATTTAATAATCATTTGCCCGATTTAATAAAAAATTTTGAATTTTTTTTCTTCGTAATCATATCAAATCCGCCATTTTTATTATTTATTCTCTCGTTATCACCGATTTTTAAAAAATTATCATTATTATTATTATCATTATTTTTTTAAATACGTATTTAATCCATTACGCAAAACAATTTTTTCGTTATCAGTCAGTCAGTCAAAAAAAAAAAAAAAAAAAAAAAAAAAAATTTCCCCGAAAAAAAAAAAAAAAAAACAGAAAACAACATTTTTAGCTCTTTAGCTTCTTTTCAATGATAATAATAATAATTCAAGGAAAATGATTAATACGTCACGTCGCGATAATAATAATAATAATAATAACAAACACACGATTGTAACAAACAACAACCAAATAAATAATGTTTATGTACGTATGCATGCGCTTAAATTGATAACGGTCGTTTATTTATAAATTTGACTTTGATTATTAATAATAATAATAATAATGATGATCATAATAATAATAAAAATGATGATGATAATAATAATAATAATAATAATAATGATAATAATAATGATGATCATAATAATAATAATAATAATAATAATAATGATAATAATAATAATGATGATGATGATTAGACCGTTACGTAATTTGTTATTCGCTTTTTTTTTTTCTCGCATTTCTCGTCCATTTAAAAAGGATGCATAATAACAATAATAATAATAATAATAATAACGATGACGATTAGCACGATCGCGATAATAATTTATTATCCCCGGATTAACTTAAATTTATTAAATCCCGTTTAATCCTTAAAAACAAAACGAGAAACATAATCCGATATCGCGTTCCTGTTTTTGTTTTCTGTTTTCTGTTTTTTTCCCTCCCGTATAAAAATACGATCGTCAATGTGAAAAGTGAGAATAAATCGTCGTTATTAATAATAAAGGTCTCGTCGTAATCAATAAATAAATCGACAAAAAAAAAAAAAGTTTCGTCTGCTAAGTAATATTAATAATAATAATAATAATAATAATAATAAAATTTTTTTTTTAACAAACGGTAAAGAGATAGAAATTTTAAAAAACGTATCCGCGCCGTGTGAAAATGATCAAGGTACTCGAATTTAATTTAATTTAATTGTTTTCTAATATTTACGATTGATTGATTGATTGATTGATTTTCTTCTTTTTATTATTATTATTATTATTTAGCTCGTCGCATTTTTATCATTTTTTTTCTTGTGTTCTTTCACGTATGGAACGACTAATAATAACGGTTCAAACTCGGATAATACGACAATATCGAAAATTCTCAACGAATTAAATTCTAACGGTATGAATAATAATAATAATAATAATAATTTGTTGTTGTTGTTTGTTGTTTGTCGTCGTTCGAAAAAGAGGGGATTTCCCTTTTTTTTTTAAATTATAATTTTTTCATTTCATTTTAAAGAGAAAGAAGATTTCGTTTTGTATTTACTCGGATTGAGCATATTGGATTGGGCGAAAAATCAACCGAGATTACCAAAATTTTTACCTACCGTTAAACAACAAGTTTTTCTCAATCTCCTCGATTTACCAGACGACAAAATCAACGAGTTTCAAGTAAGTTTCCTTTTCCTTTTCCTTTTCCTTCTCTCTTTCTTCCTCTTCCCAATGTAAAGTCACTTAAAACAAAAAACACTTTCTTCTTTCTTCTTTTCTTCTTTTTTTCTTTTCTTTTTTTATAGAAATTCAACGTCACGGAAGAATCTAGGAAAAAACTATTGATGTGGACGCAGAAAAAATTTCATTTGAGTAAAAAAGATGTCCTCGATTTGGTTAAAACTAAAAAATGTAAAGGTTCCTCCGGTGAATGTGTCACACTCCACGACATTGGAATTTTATGTTGTCCCTGGTAAACAAAAAAAACAAAAAAATTTGTTATTTTATCATTATTATTATCATTAATAAAAACCTTTCTTAACGTTAATAAATAAATTTTAATAAATTACCCGTTTCTCTCTCTCTCTCTCTCTCTCTCTCTTTTCTTTTCTTTTTCCCCCATCGTTCAATTCGAACAATTATCTAAGACTTTTTTTATCTGTTCAATTTTTTTCAATTCTCCCCTCATCGATTCCAACGAATTCTTATACTGTATCCTTTTCGTTTTCGTCTTGTTGTCCATTCCTTCGCCCCGCAACCTTTTCAAATTTTCAATCAGTTTATTCTCTTTGCTCAAAACCGACGTTTCGAAACGTTTCAACAGCGTTTCTCTGTCGTACTGAAAATTCAAACGTAAATTATTTTCATTGCAAATTTTTATTCTAAATCGATTATGATCGATCAATCGATCGATTCCACCCACTTTGTGTTCTACGTAAGCGACGCAACCGTCGTGTATTTCTTCCTCTATGACATCCCTACCGTCGTGTGATTCGACTTTTTTCAAACAATTCACTCTTCCCAATTTGGCAAATATTCGATTCGCGTCTCCGAACAACAACTCGTCGAAATCGTTTGATGATTTTATGAAAACTATAATTGTATTATCATTATTATTATTTACGTTCGGGGTGACGAAACAAACGAAATAAACTCACCGTTGGGATTATTTTTCGTCAACTGATACAAATCCAATAATTTTCGAATCGTGCTCAGTAAATGTAAAATACTTTTCATTTGTTTTTCGAGTTTTCCATCGTGGCGACAAGACCAATGTTTCGGCGACGGAAATTTCGTCATAGTTATGCTTTCGAATTTGTCGAATCCTTTGAGTTTGGGCATGGCCTGATACAGGTGTTCCGTCACGAACGGCATGAACGGCGACAACAATTTAAAACCCGTTTCCAAACAATCATGCATGACGTAAATGATATTTTTACACTCGTTTGAATTTTCTCTAACCGTCAATTTTGTACTTTCCTAAAAAAAAATCAAAACTTGTCAGCGCACTTTGACCTTTATTACAATCAAACGTCAATCAAATATTTACCAGATAAACGCCGCAAAAATCGTTTAGGAAAAAATCTTTGATTTCACGCGTCGCAATAGAAAATCTATTTTCGTTTAAACTTTCGTCGACGATTTTGACGACCCCTGCCAACTTTGACATTATCCATTTGTCAAAAATTGTGTGATTTTGACCGCATACGAAATCGTCGAAATCGTTTTCGGTTGTCACGTTGCAATCGTTGACGACTTTTATGAAATAATTCATGGACTGCCATATTTTATTACAGAAAACTCTGTTACCGTAACAAATGTTAAAATCGAAATTGACGGCGGACTCTAAAAAAAAAAAAAAAATCGACATTAAAAAATTTGTGCCGGGAAAACCAATTTTCCTCTTAAAATTCACACCTTGAATGTCGTTGACGCAAAGTGAAAATCTTAGAGCGTCTGCTCCGCACTGCGGTATCCCGTTCGGAAAATTATTTTCTTGTTTTTTAATCGCCGTCTGATAATTTTTACTCGTTATTAATTTTTCATCCAAATTATTTTTAAGATCGTTTTTCAAATCGTTCAAAGAACAACCCCTGAGTACGTATTCGGGATGAATGACGTTTCCCACGCTCTTGGACATTTTCATCCCGTGGGAATCGCAAATGAGACCGTGTAAATATATTTCTTCGAATGGTAAAACTCCTAAAATATTCATCATCATTATTATTATTACATTCTTTCCATCCTGATTTTCTAAACTCGAAATTACTTTTTACCTGTCAGACACCTGCTTAACATCACCATTCTTGCCACCCAAAAAAATAATATGTCGTAACCCGTGACCATAATGGAAATCGGGATTTTTTTCAAATCGAAAGGATTCGAAGACGATGACAAAATATTTAAAGGTAGTAGTGCTGATGAAAACCACGTGTCCAACACGTCGGAATCTTGAGTGATTTGTATGTCATTTCCAGGCTTTTGTAACTTTTCACACGCTTTTCTTTTCGCTTCTTCTACACTCGACGCAGGTATCCAAAATTCATTTTCTTTCGTTTTACAGTGGTACATGGGAATTCTATGACCCCACCACAACTGTCTCGAAAGGTTCCAATCTTTTATGTTGCTCAACCAATTACGCCATATTCCCTTGTAATTATCCGGACTAATTTTCAACGCGTTGCTCTCGACTAAATGCAACGCATCGGCAGCCAATTCTTTGCAATTTAAAAACCATTGATTTTTCATAAGGTATTCTATGACGTCTCCAGACCTTGAACAAACGGGTACTTTCATGGAATGATTGTAGGATCCTTTGAAAAGTTTCAAATTTTTAAGTTCGTTCACGATCGCGTATCTCGCATCGAATCTTTTCAAACCGGAAAATTTATTATCGGTTCCCACGGCATCGATGCGACCATCTTCGTTGATGACATTAATCAATTTTAATTTGTGTTTGGAAGCGACGGAATAATCATCCGATGAGTGAGACGGTGTGATTTTAACGGCTCCACTTCCGAATTCAGGATCGACAATATCGTCGGCAATTACGGGGATTTTCTCCTTTCTGAACGGATGCCACGCCATTTTATTTATAAATTTTGAATATCTCGAATCCGAGGGATGAACTGCGATGGCAACGTCGCCAAGCATCGTTTCCGGACGTGTTGTGTCAACGATAATTTCACTCTCTGAAATTAAAATTTTTAAAAAAATAAATAAAAAGTTAAGCTTGTTTTGATATATGACATAACACTCGTACCTTCATCACATATTTTATAACCTATTTTATACATCAAACCAAAATCCACAGGTTTCTCATACCCTGGAACATTTATTTTCATTCTTTTTTCAACATCAATCCAATTAATTTCAATATCCGATATTGAAGTTTTAATAGCACAAGACCAATTGACCAAAGCTTCTTTTCTATAAATCAAACCTTTGTCAAATAAATTAATAAATGATTTCGTAACCAAATCGGAATGAGCCTAAAACAAATAATTTAATTAATAAACACTAACCGTGTGACTAAAAAAAAAAAATTCTAAATTTTTTTTTTTTTTTGTTTAACTTACACTATCCATTGTAAATTTCAATTTGGACCAATCCAATGAAGCTCCCATGTTTTTCAACTGTTGACAAATCACCCTTTCTTTATCTTCTTTCCATTCGTACATTTTTTTCAAAAATTCTTCTTTTCCCAATTCGTTCCTGTTTAAATTAAATTTTTTTTTTATGTATTTTTCCACAGCAACCTGAGCAGCGATTCCTGCATGATCGATACCAGGAATCCACATAACAGATTCTCCTTTCATTCTTTTCCTGTGCAAAACTTTAAATAATAAAATATTTAATACTAGAAAGAAACGATATGAGAAATTTAAAATAAACAATTTACCATCTCGCAATTACATCTTGTACTGTTGTCGTGAGCACGTGACCCAAATGTAATGTTCCCGTTATGTTGGGTGGTGGAAAAAGTACGACAAACGATTCCACATCTGATTTTGTCGGTTTAAAATAATTATTTTTTTCCCAATGATCGTACCATCTTTTTTCAATTTTTTCAGGTTCATATTTAGGTTCGAGCGTTACACTATACGGAGCTGCAAAAAATATAATTATTTCTATCTCACACACTCCATTACGAGAATCAACTCGACGTTACCCTTTACTCCATTTTCGATAAGACGCCATTTCTAACGAATCTTAAAAATAAAGTTTTAACGATTATTTCATAAAAATAATAATAATAATTCTTACTTACGGTTAACATGATCAGAAAAATTCAAAAATGTGGTTTTGTAGTCGACCCTCGTACCGGCCGATAATTTTCTATTATTTTTATTAATAAAAAATAAATTTTTACCGATTCGATACATAGCATTATTGAAAATTACACTGATTATTATTATTATTATTATTTAATTTTTTTTACAACTGATAAATAATAACTATTATAAAAAATGTTAAAATTAATTAATTTCATCAAAAACGTTTGTCAACCTCCATAACTCATACGATAGTCATAGAGTAAGTAACAACAACAACAAAAAAAAAATCTAATGGAAAAAGATTTGCATTAGCAAAGCAGACGATATTTGATGTGTTATTTCACTTCGTGCATAAAAACTTTGAATGTAGTTTCGGAATGAAGTTTCCCTTTTTTTTATTTATGTTAATCAATCGATTGTATTATTATTAATAACGTGTTAAATGATTTTTTACGCATCGTAATGACCATGTTTAATTTAAGAGTATTATCCAAGAATTTTAGCAAGATAACCGTTAATAAAAACATTAGATTATATTCTGCATATGAAAAATTTAATGCGTATTTCGGTCATAAATCGTTTCAAAAGAATCCGGTTAAGTTATTAGTTGCGGCCGTACCTGTAACTGCATTAGGTGCAGGCTATTATTTTTACGGTACTAAAAAAGAAAACGATGAGTTATTAAACGAGTACGATATAAGAAATGTAGAATATCAATTATTGGAATCTAAACCCAATGTACCCATTGCCAGAACCGTAAGTCATGTGTAACTTATTTAAATAATTTACTCAAATTATCATCGATAAATACTTTTAATGTATAAATTTTTTTAGGTGAACAAATCGAAAGATGATTTAAATTTAAATTTAACCCTTTTTCAATATCCTACATGTCCATTTTGTTGTAAAGTGAGAGCATTTTTGGACTATTACGGTATACCCTATGAAGTCGTAGAAGTTAATCCGGTATTCAGACAGCAAACATCGTGGACGACGTATAAAAAAGTACCCATTTTACTAGCCAAAGTCAAAGATGGTTATCAACAACTCAACGATTCATCAATGATCGTATCTGCTTTAAAAACATATTTATTTAATCAAAATATTAGTCTAGAAGAAATTGTTAATTATTATCCTATGATCGAATTCAAAGAGAAAGAGGGAAAAGTCAAATCGGACGTTTTAAACAAATATTTCCTAATGTTTCAAGATAATGTGCCCAAAGACAAAACAACAGAAGTTGTCAAGTATGTATTATTACGATACTCTATGACTTAAAACGGAAAAAAAATTTTAATCTTTGTGGTAAAATTTTAGAGAAGAAAAAAAATGGAGAGAATGGGCAGATAACGAACTTGTACACACATTATCACCGAACGTTTACAGGACCACAGAAGAAGCTTTGCAAGCATTCAAATGGTTTTCGGAGGTTGGCAATCTATCGACTAAATAATTTTCCCCTGTAAATTATTATTATTATTTTTAAATGTATTTTTTTTTTTTGTCAGGTTGGAGAATGGGATAAACTTTTTTCAGCCTGGGAAAGATTTGTTATAGTTTATGTCGGGGCTTTCGCCATGTGGTTGATAAGTAAAAATTTAAAAAAACGTCATAATTTAAAAGATGACGTAAGAGAATCTCTCTACGATTCGTGTAAAAAATGGATGAAAATTCTTTCGATGAAAAACACTCAATTTCTAGGGGGATCAACTCCCAATTTGGGAGATTTAGCAGTATATGGAGTATTATCGAGTATAGAAGGTTGCATAGCATTTAACGATTTGATTAACAATACAAATATTGGTAAATGGTATTACCCTGTTAAAGAAGCAGTAAATAATCACAAAGGTAGACATGAAATATTTCCAATGTCTACTAAACCTAAATAAGTTTTAAATAAATATCAATTTTTTTTTTTTTTTTAAAATAATTAAAAGTATTCAACAAAAAAAAAAAAAAAAAAAAAAAAAAAACCGTTTTTTCTATCAAACTTCATCCCCAAAAAACTATATAAAAATCGTATATAAAAAAGAATAAAATATTAAACCATTAACGGATTTTTTTAAACGGACCATAGACGTAAACAAAACAAAACAAACGTTTAGTCGCAGCAATTTTTGCTACGGGCAAGATTTCAAAAAAAAAACCATAGCATAAACCTAAATTTTTTCATTACATTCGTCAAACGTGTTTTGGTAAGAGTGTGAGAAAAAAAAAAAAAAATGAACATCGTACAAAAAAAGGGCTGAATTATTTGTACTCGATTTATTTTTACACAAAATTTTTTAAAAATAATTAAATAAATAAAAAAAAATTAAAAAAAAAATTTAAAAAAAAAAAAAAACAAAAAAGGGGATTGTATATTTTATATTAATTATTTAAATATAATTTAAATGAAATTATCGTGGGGGTTGTAATAATAATAATAATAATATCCCCGTGTTACGCTGCATTTTTTTTTTTTTTTTTTTTTTTTTTTTTTTTTTAAACATGTAAATATTATGTCGGTTTGATACGTGACGTAGCAATAATAATAATAATAATAATAATAATACGAGCCTTAAAAATTTTTAATATCGAATATTTTAATTTTTTTCCCCCCGATAATAATAATAATAATAATAATAATAATAATAATAATAATAATAATATATTTTAAAACGTGTATTATTTTTTGTGTTTATGTGTATATCTATTTAACATGTTTTAAATAACACCCTTTATTACCTTTTAATCGTTAACTTGTTTCCCTCTCCCCCTCCCCAATTCCCCCAAGAGTTATAATTATTTGTTAAAATAAAATGTCTGTGTTTTTTTTTTTTTTTTTTCTTATTTCAGTTCCTTATAGTTAAGGGAAAAATAAATTTCATCGCAGAAACATTAGAAGTTAGGGATTCCCCTCAAAGAAAATTAGGTAAGTTTATACTATTATTATTATTATTATTATTATTTATATTAAACAATATCGCATAACCCTATATATATATGTTATAAGATTATGCAATATCATTATTATTATTTCTTTAATTATTATTATTTCTTTAATTATATTAATATCATTATTATTATTTAAATGGCATGAAAATTTCTCACCTCCCCCCCCCCCAAATAATAATTTATTAATATATATATATATAAATTGTCATTGATATATATAAATTATTAGCGAAAATAAAAATTTTTTTTTTTTTAACATCACATTATCCCTGCCTTGTAATGTGTTACATTAAAAATAGATTTGGCATTATATCAAAGTATTTTTACTCTCCTATTTCATATAATATTATTTGTAAAAGTCGCAAGAGAGAGAGAGAGAGAGAGAGATATGGAAAAAATCTCATGTTGTTTATATTATTTCACCGATTTATTATTATTATTATTATTAAATTATACATTCATTTTATAGAAACGAATGAATGATGATGATGATAATATTTTTTAAAAATCATTCGATATTGATTTTATAGATTATTATTATTATTATTATTATTATTTGTAAAAATTCATTAAGAGCGCTTAAATTTTTTTTTAAAAAATTAATCTTATGCGATATTATTATTATTTTTTTAAGATTTCGTGTAGGTTACTCGAATATTTAAAAAAAAGTCACATTTTAAAGCATGCATTTTAAAATGTTAAATTTTTTTTTAATTTTGGGTTTCAGCCAATACATCTCACTTTTTTCTCCCACTCTACCATTTTTCTTTTTTTTTTTTAAATAAAATCAAAATTTTTAAAATTTGAAATTTAAAAAAATTTGACACAATTTTTTTTTTTTCGAATGCATGAACTATAAAAAACCTTTCATTTTAATCTTAAACTTCTTCATTTTTTACTCGATAAAACTTTAAGGATGTGTTTCCCTTATTGTTGTTTCATCGAGTCTTTTTTTTTAATGTTGCAAATTACTTATACTTATTTATAAATATTTAAAATTAACTCACCCATGTGAACTTTACATGTTTAACCATCTTTCATTTCCATCATTTGATTCATCTTTTCATTTCCATTTCTTGTCGAATGAGCAAACAAGATGATGACCATTTTTTACACATAATGTGTTGTTCTTGTAACCTTTTTTTTTCACATAATTTTTAATCACTATTCACTTTAACTTTTAACTTATGAGAGAGAGGGGAAGGGGGAGAGGAAAGGGGGAGGTTGATAGTTGACACACTCCAATTATCATTTTTTTTAAGGGTGGTTGTTGTTTCTTTACATAAATGTCTTTGGCATAACACTTGAATTGTTCATGAGTGATTTTAAATTGTTTATCTAATTAACAACTTTTGGGTATTATTATTATTATTCGTCAACGGTATTCGATGACGCGTTTTCACGTGACCGTTTCGTTTGTTTGTTTGTTTGTTCCCGATTGTCGGAAAATTAACGAATATAAACACCAACTCGCGGTAAAACCGACATCACTTTCGTTCGCGCGCTTGTTTAACCGTTATAACAATCGTCGCGTAATGGCGTAATTTTCGCGCACTTTTCGTTATTTCACCGCCTTTTCGAAATCGTGGCTCGAAATTAAAATTATCGTGTCGCGGTTTTCCCCCGCGATTTTTTTTAAAATTAACGAATTATTTATATTTATACATATAATTTTTTTTTTTAAATGTTTATAACCCCGTGTCCTTATTTGTTTTTCCCTAAAGGTTATGGACGATTGGGCTTCCATACAGTCTCTATCAAGTACTCCCATCAAGAATAACGTCGTGAATATTTTCGAACAATTTAAAAAGAATTTGATTATCGGTGAACAATCCGGTCGGAAAATACCGTTCAAGTCACTTTTTGCCACGATATTGATACACCTGGGCCGACTTTTGTTTCACGTTGTCGTCACGATATCGGGATTTTTTCCCACTCTCGTCATACTCTCCCACATCGGGGGATTCATATTGGAAAGATGGTTGGAAATCCTTTACACTCCCGGGATATACGTTCGTTTTAAAAAAATAACCGTGACCGCGTTGCAGGTAGCCATATTGCTCGCGTACTGTTATTTCCTACTCTCTCTCGTTTACGCGCCATTGTTTTTCGTCGTCCTTAATTTTTTTTCCTTCGTTTAAAAGTGTATTGGGGGTGGAAGTGGGGGTTGGGGGAGGATGGGGAACGTCGATGCATTTTGTCGAAAACGAATGATTACCGGATAATAATAATAATAATAATAAAGTGAATGAAAAATCACCGGAAAAAGTAACCCGAAAAAAAAAAAAAAAAAAAAATGAAATTTCATTTCTTATAAACCTTTTCCCTTTTTTAAAATCAAATCAAATAAATACTATAAGGATCATTTTTGATTAATCTTTTGCTTTAAAAAAAAAAAAAAAATAAATTTTTTGTGAAGGAATCCTTCGAAAGATAGAAAACAAAAAAAAAAAAAAAAAACAAATATGGCGTGACGTCACACGAACGAAACTGTTATTTAATCGCATTACACCTGATATAAAGGTGAGTTCTATAATAATAATAATAATAATAATAATAATAATAATCTTTTCGTGTTTTTAAAATGATAATAATAATAATGATAATAATAATAATCATGTCGGGTTTAAAATGAAAATAATAATAATAATAAATCAAAAAGCATCGTTCGAATTCAATTTGTCGTTATGGGGGTAACCGATCGCGCGATTTGCCACCTTTTTCCTCTCTCTCTCTCTCACTCACTCTCTCTCTCTCTCTCTCTCGCACGATTTTTTTAAATGGCGAAATGTTTTCTTTTTTTTTTTTTTGCACGTGAAATCTTGTTTTCTTTAGTATAAGAAAAAAAAAACGTCGGGGTGAGCAAAATTCATTTTTAAACGAAATAAATATAGATTTATATATTTATATAAATAAATAACGCGTTCGGTTGGGACGCATAAAAAAAAAAAAAATTTAAAATTTCGACGCGTTTAAAATCCGTAAAAAATTAATAAAAAAAAAAAAAAAAAAAAAAAAAAAAAAAAAACCTTTTCCCAACTTTAAACCAGTGAGTGAGAGAGAGAGACCGAGAGAGAGAGAAGGAAAAGTGCAAAAAGTTAACAAAATGCGCTTTATTGGTCATAAACATTAAAAAAAAAAAAAAAAAAAATCTTAAAAAAAAAAAAATTAAAAGAAAATTTTTTTTTTTTTTTAATGTTTTTTAGACTTTTGGATATTTTGCCAAATAGTTTTCCACGACGTTATTTTGTGTCAGTTTCTCACTCTCTCCCTCTCTCTCTCTCTCTCTCTCTCTCTCTCTCTGTCTCTCTCTGTCTCTCTCTTTCTGTCTTTCTCTCTCTCTCTTTCTGTCTCTCTCTCTCTCTCTATCTATCTCTCTCTATTTGCCCCTCAATCATCGACGATTAAATGTCGTGAAAAGTTTTTTTTTTTTTTTTTTAACGAAATTGTGTCAGTTTTTGCGATTTAAGTAAACGTTTATGTATATATATTAACGCTATCGAAATCATTATTATCATCATCATCATCATCATTATTATTATTATTATTATTATTATAAATACATTTTATAAACGTTACGAAGTTAGCAAGTTTGCGACGGTTTTGCAAGTTTCATATTATTATTATTATTATTATTAATATTTTTTTCGGTGCGTTCGTTCTCGTTCGTTCGTTTGTTCGTTCATTCGTCCGTTTGTTCGGTTGTTCGCGTGTGCGTGCGTTTGTGTGGGAAAATGTATTTGTCATTTGTAAAAATAAAACAATCGTACGGATTTTGTCGTCGTTGGACACTTATTTAAAAATATTAATTTGATTTTTTTTAAGAAAAGTAATCGGAAGTAGACGTAAGTTTTCTTATACGAGTAAAAACGTGGATAAAGAGAGAGAGAGAGAGAGTGAGAGTGAGAGAGAGAAAGAGAGAGTGAGAGAGAGAGAGAGAATATAGAAATTGTGTAAACCTTGCAAACGCGACCCAGACACCTTTAGAAAAAATTTTTTTTTTTTTTTTTTTTTTTTTATAACTTGGAGTGCACGGCCTTATAATAATTAATTAATTTTTTATTTATTCATCGTTATTATCATTATTATTATTATTATTTTCTCGTTCGATTTCTTTCGGTAGTATATCGTAATTATTATTATTATTTCGGGGTCGAGTGACATACACACACACACACATATATGTTTAAAAAAATGTTCCCCGCCCCCAATTCGCCCCCCGTCAAATGTAAAACGTCGATCGTTTTAATATTATTATTATCATCGTAGGATATGGTTTGCGCGTTGGAGGAAAAGAAAATAACTTGCGTGATTCAATATAAAGACAATTTCGGACCGGTCGAAGTCACGATTGATTTTCCACGTTCTTCAACGGTTGCAGACCTATACGAAGAAGTTGGGAAAAGGATTCGGTGCCATCACGAATTTTTCAATCTTGTCCTCCAACAGGGAAATGGAAACGAGAATGCGGTAAGTGAATTTTTTTGATGGTGATGGTAGTGGTAGTGGTAGTGGTAGTAGTAGTCGTCGTCGTCGTTGTTGTAGCAACAGCAGCAGCAGCAGCAGCAATGATAATGATAACAATGTTAAATTTCATACGATTCGTATTTCGTAATGATGATGATAACGTTGAGGTAGGTCACGTGGGAAAATCCACGACGCACAATTTTCATTGAAGAATTTAGAGAGTAAGAAAGAAAAAAAAGAAAATTCCGTTTCTTGCGTAAAAAATTTTCCAAGGGTAACAAGTTTTTAAAAAAAAAAAAACCAAATGAATGACGGTCGGTTTCATGTGCGACAAGTCAAGAGTTTTAGAGGACGAGGACACTCTTAATAAAAAATATATTAATAAAAAAGGGGGGAGGGAGGGGGGGAAGAAGAACGACAACCGTTCCATCTGCTATCATACTATTATCATCATCATCATCATCATCATTAATTATTTGTTTTCCAGGTGCATTTAAGTCATTGCAAAAGCGAAACGATTGAAAATGTCGGATTCAAAATTGGGCCCGACGAAAAAAACATTGTCCTCTTACACACGATACCGGATCCGGACGTGTCAAAAACATACGATCTTCGTATGAGGAGCATAACGAGCTCCCCGCCGACAGCCTCCGGCGACCATGAAACTCCAGCCGTGCCTCCGCCTCCGCCACCCCCACTGTCCTCGAACGTCAGCGATGACTGCAGCAGTTGCTCAAACGCGAGAGTTCGCCACGAAATCGGTAATGATTTATTTATTTATTTTTTTTTTTTGTGGCGTGTGCCTTAACCGATCCTTAATTTACGGTTTACCACTTTCAGGTTACGTAGGTTTAGTCAATCAAGCAATGACGTGTTACCTAAACAGTCTCCTTCAAGCCTTGTACATGACTCCGGAATTTCGTAACGCTTTGTACAATTGGGAATTTGACGGATCGCCGAACGAAGAAGTCAAATCCATACCGTATCAACTTCAAAAGCTTTTTTTAAATTTGCAAACGTCGCGAAAGTCGGCGGTCGAAACAACGGAACTCACGAGGAGTTTCGGTTGGGATTCGTGGGAAGCGTGGCAACAGCACGACATACAAGAACTCTGCCGCGTCATGTTCGACACTCTCGAGCAAAAATTCAAAAACACGAAACAAGCGGATCTAATTAATCGTTTATACGAGGGGAAAATGGTCGATTACGTCAAGTGTTTGGAATGTTCGACGGAAAAATCTCGGGAGGATACTTTCTTGGACATACCGCTTCCGGTTCGACCGTTTGGAAGTAACGTCGCGTATGGAAGCGTGGTACGCGTTCTATCGACTCTAACGAGAAAAAACCTAAAGCGCGAACCGAACCTTGTTCTATATTTTGTTTTTGTTTTTTCAGGAGGAAGCTCTGAGAGCTTTCGTTCAACCGGAAACTTTGGAGGGTAACAATCAATATCATTGCGATACGTGTAATAAAAAATGCGATGCCCACAAAGGCCTTAAATTTTCAAAGTTCCCATATTTACTCACTCTCCACCTCAAACGATTCGATTTCGATTTCAACACTCTACACAGAATCAAATTAAACGACAAGGTGTCCTTTCCCGAAAAGCTCAATTTGAACAGTTTTATATGTCACAAGAAGGGTTCGGAAAAGAGTAGCGAGTCATCACCCGAAGACGCCGTCATTAAATGCGATGATTCTTGCACGACTGATAGCGGGTCGGCTTTGGACGATGAAGTTTGCCAGGGTCTGGATCCAATCAATCCGATCGTATCAAATTCTCACGAAAACAATCACAACAATGATTATCAAGTAATCAATTAAATTTTTAATTGTTAATTTGATTTTGTACAATCGTTTCTAATTTCTCTCTCTCTCTCTCTCTCTGCCTGAACAGGATGACGATGAAGGTATCGACATGGGACAACAACACGAAAATGAAAAAAATCGATGCAACGCAATCCCCGAAACGACGGGACCCTACGTTTACGAATTGTTTTCGATAATGATACACTCGGGTAGCGCGGCCGGAGGACATTATTACGTGTACATAAAAGATTTCAAAGATGGCGAATGGTATTGTTTCAACGATCAAAACGTCGCGAGGGTTCGTTTTCATTTCTCCCCCTCCCCCTTTCCCCCTCCTTTCCGTGCATGGAAAAAAAAAACCGTTTTTTGACGTACGCATTTTTATACCCTTGCAGATAACATACGACGACATAAGAAAAACCTACGGCGGAGGTCCCATAAAAGGCTATTATTCCGGAGCTTACAGTTCGAGCACGAATGCTTACATGTTAATGTACCGGCAAATAGATAGAGAAAGAAATGCTTTCGCCATGACCGTCGACGAATTTCCCGAACACATAAAAGCACTGCATGCAAAATTGGAAGAGCAAAAAGAACTCGATTCAATAGTCAAAGATGTAAATACGTACAATTGCAAATTGAGAATATACTGTAATTGTCCGAATCAGAATTACTTATCCGAATCGAGGATACACATATATAACGAATCCACGCTCAAAGATGCTCTGCAAATGAGTTATAAAGTAAGGAAATGAATCGTAACGTCTTGTCCTACTCCCCGTCGTACTCATCATCGCCATCATCATCATCAATCGAATTGTTTTGTTTTTTTCAGAGATTTAATTTAGAAAAATTAGTACCCATCGAAAGATGTCGGTTAGTTAGTTACGATAAAGTTAGAGACAGCATAATATGTTCGTTCGAAGGAAAAGAATACGAGCAAGTGTCCGATATATGTAATCATTACGGTAACGAATTCTTATTGGAAATACGAGAGGAGGGAGAAGACTTTATCATGTACAAATCAGGAGGTGAGATACGTCACGCGTATCAACCATCTCTATGACTTACAACTGATAATCCATTTTTTTTTTTTTTTTCCATAAAGATATAAATACGATAGTAATATTAGTGAACGTTGAAACGGAAGACGTCAACAGTCCCGTGGTAGTTCGAACGAATTTTTCCACCACCGTTAAAGAATACAAGGAAATGGTTGCGAAACAATTAAAGTTACCAAGCGACGCGATAGTTTTCGCACTAGAAAAATTTTACCGTCGAAGACTTTTGCAAAACGACGACTCGGCGTTAAAACACGAAGATTTTTACGACAGCATAAAAGTTTACGTTGCTCCCGTTTGTTCGTCGACGTCGACCACGACGACGACGACGACGACGAGTCCCGGCGAAGGTTTCGAATTACAAAAACATTTAACACTCAACAAATTACAAAAAATCGTCGATAAATACGAACATGTGATAACGTTGTACATAACTCTCCCTGACGTCGATAGTGGTACGTATATATACGGGTACACAAAGAAAAAACATTTCAACTCTTCCTGATTTCTCTTCTTCGTTTTCACAGAAACATTAGAAAGATTAGGTATACCTCCGTTGGATCAGTCGAAACCACATTCGACGAACGTGCCGAGCAAAACGGCGTGCGACGAATTGATATTAAATTGCCAAAGCAGTAGCAGAGGTCCCTCGCCGAGCAGTCATAGAGATCCTTCGCCTCAACCCCTACCCGATCCGGAAGACGAAACCGCGGGACAATGCGTCGGACCCCATTCGGATCAAAGTGCCAGCGAGGATAGCAGTTTGACGGATAGCGAAAGGTTCGAAACGATTGAAAAAAATTCACGTCGGAAAAATCATGACGTCATCCTTCCGTTTTTCTTTTTCTTTTAGAACAATCGTGGGAGAAGCACCTGGTGATTGTCTTGCTCAGTTATCTCCAAATAGTTCTCCGGCAGATTCCGATCACGTTCTGTCATTCGAAGGTGAAACTACTAGTACTACTACCACTACTAATGACTGTTCGTTGAAGAGAACGGATCATTACCGTAGTAAATTAATCGTGAGTGTTTCTCTCCTCTCCCTCTTTCCATCTTTCTCTCTCTTTAGATTCAGTCATTTAATTTTCTTCTTCTTTTTCTTCCAGACTGGATTACATCCAAGTGACGACTGCGAAAATTGGGATGGAGATGATGAATCTTGTCATAAAAATTTTAATTATTTTTTCAAGGCTGTTCCTTATACCGATAAGTTAAATCAAAAATGTAATTGACAACGGCGAAGAAACACGAATGAATGATTGAATGATTGATTGATTGATTGATTGATTTTTTTTTTTTTAAAGGTTTAAAAGTTTTTGTCGACAAGAGAATGTTACAGAAAACTTTCAAACAGTGCCTAGAATCATTTGTCGGCGTGTCGGTTGAAAATTTCAAAATATCCAGAGCTTGTAGTAAAAATTTGGATTTAGATTATTCATCAATTTCCGATACTTTGGACATATATAAAGACAACGAAAAATTATTCATCAAATTGGGGAGAGCTCTCAAAAAGGGAGAATATTTAGTTAACATTTTTCTATTGTCTCCGAATTGCGACGAGGTGAGCGAGAGAGAGAGAGAAAATTGAGTGATAATAATGATAAATAGATGGATGGATAATGATAGAGGACGGGGGTTTTTGTCTTTTCCGCAGCCTTTCAAACATTTATTCGAATGGATAATAGCCATCAATTCGTCCGTGTCGCAAGTCAAAAAAGAAATCCTAGACGAAATGAAAAGGAAATGTGCCATCGAAATACCATACAACAGGTGCAGGTTGAGGAAAAAAGTTTGGAGAACTCCGACGAGGCCTTACCTGGACGGGAGAACGTTCGACGATTTGACAAACAGTTGGGAATTGTTCGTTCAAGAATTGCCCGGAGACGATCCCGTCACTAGTCCAGAGCAAAAATTACTCACTGTCCGACAATTTAATCCGTGCGCGAGAGAACCCAAACCCTACGAGGAATTAGTATTGAACAACGATAGCTTTGCAGAATTTAAAGAAAAGGTACGTCGAAAGGTCCCTTTTCGTTCGAACGTTCGAACCTATTATTAATAATAATAATGATAATGAATGATTGGTTTTCAGTTATCGGAAATGAGCGGGATTCCGGCGGAATTCATAGAAACGGGTAAAGCTCCGGGTTCTTTTCCATCCGTCGACTATTGGATATTGACTCCACACACGGAAATCGAATGGTGCACGGCGGGTAGTAAAACGTCTTCGGACGACTCCGTTCTTAGTTTGTACGACGAAAGTCACTTGATATTTTACAGGTATTTAAACTAAAATCGTTTGTTTGGTTCGTTTGTACGTCTTTATATGTGTATGTCGTCATGTCATCTCTCTCTCTCTCTCTCTCTCTTTACAAATATTCCAGGGACAGCAGAGAAAAGGGGAATTTGTTTTTAATGAAAGATAAAAAGTTACTCAAAGACAGGAGAAACAGATTTTATTCGCCGGTCAAAGAAAGACCTTTAAAAATTTATTTGGATTCGCCGCCGAAAAAAGACGAATCGGATGTTGATTGATGATGACTTTGGCCGGGATTTCGCGAAGGTACGTCATCCTACGTCATAGATCGATAGATCGTTTTAAAGTTCCGTCATCGTTATCATCATTATTAATTTTTTTTTTTTTTAGCCAGCCGGTTCGAATTCGATGACACTCGAATAATACTAAACTAAACGAATATAAAAAATGAAAATGAGAATTTCCTCTTTCTCACGCGTCGCGATGGTGGTCAATATAAACGATTTGTCAACAAAAAAAAAACAAACAAACAAACAAACAAATAAACAATCATGGATGATGATGGACTCGAGGGTTTTCGTGTGTACACGCACGTGACGACGACGACAACAACAAGTTAACAGTTAAAGGAAAGGAGAAGAAAAAAGGAAGAAAAGGAAGGGAAGAAAACGTTTACTTATTTGTCACACGGAAAAGGAAGCGAAACGTTTCCGCGAATGAATGAATGAATGAATGAATGAATGAATGAAACAAAACAAAACGATTTACAATAATTCAATCATCAAAACGTATGCTGCTGCTGCTGCACACACCTACGACCCTAATTTCGAATATTTCTTTTCCTTTTTTTTCTGCTGCTGTTGTTGTTGCTGCTGCTGCTATTGTTGCTGTTGTTGTTGTTGTTGTTGTTGAAATTGTTTTTTGTCATGTTAGCGCGGATGTGCGAGTTTTCGTTTTCGTTATTTTGTCCCCTCAAATAAGTCTGCAGTCGTGGAAAATTATACGCGCGTATTATTTGTCCTCAGTACACGTGCGAGTTATGGTTTACACGTGGCGAAAACAATCGATTACAAACCGACAGGTATATAAAGTAAATATATGTATATATATAAATATATGTATGAATATGAAATTGGAATGAAAATACGCGCACGCACACACCCATACGCACGCGCGAGCGAGTCTTTCATCGAATTTTTTTTTTTTCTATATATTTTTCTTACGATTTTTTTTTTTTTTTTGTAATCAATCCCTCCCCCTCCCCTCCCCCTTTAAAATGAAATCGTCATTATTATATTTATCATTATTATTATTATTATTTTGTATCGTTTTTTTTTTTTTTTTTGTTTTGTTTTTCTGAGCATCGTGTTTGTTAGCCGTGCCAGTTAATTTATTTATATATATATAAAAAATAAAAATAAAAATGAAATAAACAAAAAAAAAAAAAAAAGGGAGAAAAATAAAATAAAAATAAAATAAATAAATAAAAAATAAAATAAATAAATAAAAATAAATAAAATAAATAAAAATAAATAAAATAAAATAAAAAAAGAAATTAATTTAATTACAAGATTATACACGTTTTTTTTTTTTTTTTTTTTTTTTTTTTTTTTTTGTATCATTATTATTATATTTTATTGTTTATAAAATTTTTTGTTTATATTTTTGTTTAAATGAATCCCTGATTTCCTCCTCATTTTTTCGAAAAGAAATTCATTTCGGGAATCATTTGAAAAAATAATAATAATAATAATCTCTTCTATGGGGGGGGGGGGTTAAAAAACTCGATTCGGATAACACGTTTAAACGTTTTTATATGAAATCCAACGAAAAGAATTATTTGAATATTTCGACGACGAAGAATTTTTTTCCATTTGTTTCGACGACGACAACAACGACGACGACGTCGACGTCGATAAATCGACGTCTTTGACGCTGTCGTCGTTACAACCAAACGAATACCCCGATATCTTGGACATTTCTAATTTTTCCGACAGTATCCCCTCGCACTCGTGTAAAAATTTATCCATTTCCTATACGTATAAATTAATAATTTTTTTTTTTTTTTGTGGTCGTCGAATCAATTCCATTCGAATCGAACGAACGAGAGAGTGAATGAATGATTGATTGAATGAATGAATGATTGAATGATTGAATGAGAAAATAAGAAAAGAAAAAAAAAACTCACCCTCGGAAGATTTCCTTTCAATGTTTCCAATCCTTTTTTCAAATGGTTTTTTTTAGAATTTTTCGTAAACGAAGAAGTTTCTTTCGCCCAAACCGTTGGTACCACTGATGACCTTTCGGTGGATTTTAACGACAGATTGCTGCAGGCGACAATTTCCGAACGTTTCAATATGTTTTCCCAACCGTAATTCTAAAATTACAAACAAAAAATTACTTCAAAATCAGATTTTTTTTTTTTTAAGGAAAACGGGAAAGCGGGAGGTGGGGGGCTGTATTAACCTGACATCCTCCTCTGAACGAAATCCCGACGAAATTAAATTCCAAATCCGACAAATAAATTATTTGCAAATCTTGTTCCGTAAAGTCTTTCACGACCGTTACGATTCCGACAATGTCGATTTCGTCGAAAACTACGTCCGCCATTTTGCCGAGCGGTGTCAAACGTCTCGCGGGATAATCGAAATCTCGATTCGTGATCGATTGAAATCTCGTCGATCTCGATGCGTTGATTTGAATCCCGGATTTGAACCTGGACAACGATAACAATAATAATAAACAAATGAAAATACACTCGAGGGATTCTGAGTTTTTGAAAAGGTTTTTTCTAACCTTGTTTGAAAATTACTGACTGTCACGTTGACGAGTGACATTCCTTTTCCCTCTGCAAACAACGTTGACGTTTCTTCGTTCGGATTCCATATTGATAATAATGATGGAATCGTAAAATTTGGTTTTCTCGCATCTGCTATTCTTATTTTCAATACTTGACTCACGTCTCTCTTTAAATTTTCTCTCTTTAATTTTTCTTCGACTTTTTTCAAAGCTTCGAAACCGTTGGTATTATCTTTGTTTTGATTCTCTCTCTGGAAAACAAGGAGAGGGGAGGGGAGGAAACGTTCATTAACCGTTCGATTCAATATTAATAAGGTGAAAAATCGTTTGTGTGACTCACTCACATGAAAATTTCTCGTTAAAGAATAAAAATTTTTTTCAATTTCCGGTGATAAAACATCATCCGTGTCTCTCGTTTTTTTCTTACTCCTTCTCATTTCCGCGTAAACCTCATCGTAAATTTTTTCCAATTTTTCATCTCGAATTTTCTTATGTTCCGCCTCAGCCTTTTCTTCAGTTTTCTCATTTCTCACAACTTGAAATGAAAACAAAGAAAATTGATGATGCTGTCGGTTATCTTTTATTCTATTGAAAATATTGCAAAAATAAAACTTACCCCTTCGACCATCCACAGTTTTTTCAACATAAAGAAAAGGATAAATTCGAACGATGATGACATCCAATCGACTTATGGGACCGCCATCAGGTAAAATCGAATTTAATGATATTATCAGGTTTCCCGGATTTTTTTGAAAACCTAATTTAGCATCCCATCTTATTTTTCTCGTTGAATTTGTAAATATTTTCAAATAAACGTCCGGAGTCATCTGTCACAATAAAAATAAAATAAAATAAATTATAAACGGTGATTTCTTTTCTTCCATTTTTGACCCGAATTCCCGCGCGTTTACTTTGTCGACGTTTGTCGTGGCATTAGAATGAAAACAAACCTTGAATTTTAAACTCTCAACATCGTTTTCACATTTAAAGTGAGAACGAGTGCTTGTTAAATTGTGTAAAATGTCCGACGATGAAGAAATTATATACGTGAAAAGACCGAAAAAAATACATTACGGATCGTTGGAAGAACAAGAAAGAGCAAAGCTTTTGGAGAGTTTAAAAGATGACGCCGATAAAGATGCCGGTTCGTTATTATCAGGGAATATTCACATATCTGATGAATACATGGACATTGAGGATGAAGTATCCAAAGACAGGGCTGCGTTGTTGGAAGAGTTCGAAAGGCGTAAAAGAGCGAGACAAATTCACGTGTCCACGGATGATGATCAGGTTAAAAAAAATTTGAGGCAATTGGGTGAACCGATATGTTTGTTTGGTGAAGGTCCAGCCGACAGGAGGAGCAGGTTAAGAGATTTGTTGTCTAAACTGGGTGAAGATGCTATACAGAGGAAGCAAGTTGAAGAGGAAACCAGAATACAACAGGAAAAAGACCAGGAGAGTACATGGTATCACGAGGGTCCAATGGCTTTAAGAACAGCCAGACTTTGGATTGCTGTCTATTCGCTGCCCAGAGCTCAAAAAAGAATAGAAGAAGCCAAAATGCGTGCTCAACAATCAGATACGAGTCGAACTGCTAGAAGGAATGAAGTACATAAAAAAATTCAAGCAGTGACAATATTTGCTAGTCAAATAGGAGACACCAGGCCGATTTCATTTTGTCAATTTTCACCAAATTCTGAATATCTAGCGACAGCTTCTTGGAGTGGTTTGTGTAAATTGTGGTCTGTGCCTAAATGTGAATTAATTAAAACATACAAAGGACATAATTGTAATGTTGGAGCCATAGTGTTTCATCCCATGGCTACTCTGGAAGAAAGAAACAATTCTTGTTCGTTAGCATCTTGTGCCTCTGACGGCACAGTCAAATTGTGGTCTTTAGAAAATGACGAACCTATCAAAGATATCGAAGGACATGCTCCTTACAGAGTCTCTAAATTAGCTTTTCACCCTTCTGGGAGATTTTTAGGTACATGTTGTTACGATTCATCATGGAGACTGTGGGACTTGTCAATCGGACAAGAAGTCCTTCATCAAGAGGGACACTGTAAACCTGTACACTGTTTGTCGTTTCAAAACGATGGTTCTGTCGCTGCATCAGGGGGCCTCGATGCTTTTGCCAGAGTCTGGGATTTGAGAACGGGAAGATGCATTATGTTTATGGAAGGTCATCTCAAATCTATATACAGCATAGACTTTTCACCGGATTGTTATCAGGTGGCAACGGGTAGCGAAGATAATACTTGTAAAATATGGGATCTCAGAAAGCGAGAATGCGTGTACACGATACCGGCTCACATGAATTTAATATCCGATTCGAAATTTCAAAAATCCGGAGGATTTTTCCTAGTGACCGCATCCTACGATAACACGGCCAAAGTTTGGTCAAATAAAACCTGGCAACCGTTGAGAACACTATCCGGGCACGATAATAAAGTCATGAGCGTGGACGTATCAAAAGACACTCAATTCATAGCGACAAGTTCTTACGACAGAACGTTTAAGTTATGGGCTCCGGAAGCAATGGCTTGATGAACGACTCACGATGGAAAAATAAAACAAAATGGAGAGAAAAAAAAAAAAAAAAAGAAACTCACCTCGAGAGGAGACGTTCCTTCTTCGCAATTCACGAGCACGGCTCCTTGCGTTATCAATTTCATTCCGACGGTTATTTTTCCTTTTTCTATGAGCCTGGACATGGCGGAATCAACTTTTGCCGGGCAACTGTACCAACCGTCCGTTAAATTCAATTCGTAATTCGTTACGTTTCCGGTTCCGGTCATCTGTATAACAATCAAAAAAAACATTTTTTTTTAAAAAAAAAAGTACAATAAAAACTTTATGAAAAAAAAAAAAAAAAAAAAAAAAATTGTTGGTATTCTTCTTCGACTTACCTTTTTTACATCGCACACGCACAAAACCATTCTTTTGAGTGACGTGTCATCTTTTTCCAAAATTTTCCTCAACGCGGATCGTTCGCATTTATCTATTTCTCTATCGTATCGATATTTCAACTGTTGCATGACATGATTCGGTGATAAAATTTTCCCTTTGAAATATTCCGGAAATGCTTTTTCGTAATGTGACAATTTCCACACGATCCACTTGTAATGATTTTCAAACCATCCTTCCGGAATTAAATTCGGTTGAATTCCAGGACCGGATAAAAATCCTCTTTTGAATTCTTCGACTCCAGCTTCGTGTCGATTGTCATCTGGTATTATTTGAAATCCGTCGTCCAGTTCAACGTTTACAGAATTCACTGAAAAACTTTTTTAAGAAAAATGCTAATAATAATAATGAAATTATACCCGGGGGGAAGGGGGGGGAGGGGCAATTCTACATAAATGAATTAAACCTTACCCGTGAGTGTTGGACTCGGTAGAAAATTTATAATTTAAAGCTTCTTCCGGTTTTATGAACGAGTTTTTCTTGTAATAATTTTCCCCGACTAAATGTTTGACCATTTCCGCTAATTTCGGACGATTCTTTTCCGACTTTTTCACCGTTAGCGTACCACGAATCGGCGTGACTTTCTCTTTGTTTTTAATCCTTTGTTCTTGACTCACTCTCGCTAAATACCTTTCCTCTTTCACGTCGAGATGAATTTCTTCCGAGTCGAAAACCTTTTCGTCAACGTCCTCCGGTCCTTTGATTTTTTTACACTGTCTATCTTTGACATTCGTCGACTCCCCTTCGACATCGAAGTCTTGTTTTCTTTTCTTGACATTATCATTACTCTGACCGGATGGAGTCACTTCCGTGATGTCCGATAAATTTTCTCTTTCATCGAACGTTAGCCTCAGTTTTTTACTTATGTGTTCATCATCGTTTTTTCCCGACGAGTTCATCGTAAAACCGGAAGCTTTGGAATTTCTGGCGTCACCATCATCGTCGTCAGATTCGGCAATCGTTTCTAATTTGAAATTAAAAGCAGATCTTTGAATTCGCGTGACGCTTTTATTCGTCGTCGTGTCGCGTGACGACGAGACATCGCCTTCGATATTTTCCATATCGCTTTTCCATTTCCTACTCAACTTTTTCTTTCTATTTACGTGAAAATCTTTCGGAGTGCTCGTTCCAACTGGTTTGTACATGCTCGAAGAATCTCCAAAATCTCTTCCTGGAGTATTTATCGACGAGGATTCGATGGGTTCGGGTGTGATGACGGAAACGTCGTCGGAATCATCCAGATTATATTTATTTAATTTTTTTATGGAATCCTCTCCAAAATTATTTTGAAAACTTTTATCACAATCTTTAAATAAATTTTTAGCTTTTTTTAACGCATCTTCGGTAACTTCCACTTTGTGACCTAAACCTGTTTTGAATCCTATTTCGAAAAAATCCTTACTAGAACTTTCTCGATGTTTTTTAACATCGGATGAACTTTCAACTCTCTCCTTTTTAAAATATTCATCATCTTGATCGCATTCTTCTGCTAAAAGTTTTTTAGCTTTATTTAAAGCTTCTTTCGAAACGAAAACTTTTTCTCCGGAAGCAGAAAAAAAACCAAAATTTTCATTTTTTCCACCATTTTTCGACAAAATGTTACGAAAACCATCATCATCATCATCATCTTTATTCGGAAAATTCGTTATTTTTTCTTTTGTTTTGTCCGATGATTTCGACTCTGATTTTTCATTTTCCTTTTTCGATTCTTCACTTTTGAATATTTCTGTTGATTTATTCGAAATTAAATTTGTACTTATAAAATTTTCATCCTCATTTATTTCCGACATTAATTCTTTGGCTTTTTCTAATGATTTTTTAGAAATGGAAACTTTTAAACCGCGAGCAGTCGAAAATCCACAATTTATTTTCGATTCTTCGATCAATTTTACATCTTCTTCGTTAGATTTTTTCTTATTGCACGATATTTTATTATCATCATCATCATCACAGCTAAACATTAACTCATTAGCTTTTTCCAGAGCTGATTTTGAAACTTTTATTTCTTTACCCGAACAAGTTTTAAATCCAACTGACAAATCCGTGGAATTTTTCGGAAAATTAACTGTTTCCGGTTTCGAAACGTAAGAATCATCGATCACGTCTAAATTTTTAAATGATTCCTCCTGATTAATGTCATCCATTAATTTTTTTGCTGCATCTAAAGCATTTGCTGAAATTGTTATTTTCGAACCCAAAGCTGTTGAAAAACCAATGTTTGTTTTGAAATCCCTTTTCGAATCTTGTACAAAATCTAATAATGATTTCTCTTGATTTATCCTTTCAACATTCGAATTCTCAACATCGACATTTGAAAATGTTGCTGAAGAAGACATTTATAGAAAGAAAAATTTCAATTAACTAATTTTTGACTAAATAAAATCACTCGATATAATAAACACTTACCTATTAAAGAATTGGGCATCAATGAATTTTCCATTTCATCTGCCACCTTAATCATTTCATTTTCCTCAACCAATGATTTTTCCGAATCGACTGCTAATAAACTATCACCTGTTTTTTCGACTAATGTTTTTTCTGCTTTTTCAACAGCTTCAACCATTTTTTCTTCTTCTTCTAACATTTCTATTATGTTTAGTATTTCTTCTTTGTTAATTTTAAGATCATTCTTTGACAAGTATTGTTTTATCACATTCCAATTCACTTTTCCAGCATTATCATTCATAAAATATTTTTCATTAGCAGTAATAATTTCTTGAATTGCAGAAGAATTCAATTCGTTGGTATTACATTCAAGAAGAGTTTTAAATTTGTTCCAAAAATAACAATTTGATTTATTTTTTTGTGATTTTTCCCCTGCATCTTCCATTTTTTTTTTCAATGTACTATGTAATTCATCGAAAGTGGTAAAATATTGTTTCATAAGTTGAGGCTCATCTGAATTTTCACATGGATAATAATATTTTTCATTCCTAACAACTTGGTCCGCCATATTTGTTTGATTTTCTTCTTCATTTTCGAGCAGACTATTATCAATTATTTTGTTGTTTGATTCAATAGAAATCTGGGATTTATTTTCGGATTGCAATAAAGTATTACACATTTTATCCAATTCGGTAAAAGAATAATTAGCAAATGATTCATCATCCTTTGTTTCTAAATTAGAAATATGATGTTTTTCTTCCATATTTTCCACATCGCTACCAATTTCATTATTTAAAACATCCAAAGAACTTATTTGACTCAACATGAGATCGGGTGACTCTGGATTTTCATTATTTTTCCCGGATGCTGCCAACTTTTTCGGATTTAGTGTAAAAACAGGCGAAGATGGATAGAAAATCTTATTACTTTTTAAAATTTTATTTTCCATCGATTCATTATGATAATCAATTGAATGATCGAAAGATTTAAATTCTAATTCTCTTAATGTAGCGCAAACATCCGAGAGTCTTTCGCTGACTTTATAGGATTTTTCCTCGTCGCTATCCGGGCTAACCGGTAATAAAGAACAACCAAAGTTGTCAACATCGGAACAAGGTGAAAATAATGCTCTAGGTTGAATCTAAAAATTTTTCAACAGTCATGAATCAATTGTAAAGTGTAGATTAATAAATTGTAAATTGAAAAAACCTTACCTTTTGAAATTTTTCCTCTGGGAAAAATGTCGCTTTTTCAATTGTATTAAACTGACTGAAAGGCGGTTTAGGAGGTGGACTTGCCATGTAACTAGCCCAAGATATATCTTTATCTGCCATTTGTAAACTTTTGAAAGGACCTTGTTTTCTTTTTTCTTCGATATTTAATATTTCATTACTGCCACTACTACTACTACTACTACTTTTAAATAAATTTACATTACACTTTTTAGCAATCGTTCCTAGACTGTGTATCGAAGGTGGTTGAAACTGTTTATTAAAAACTGATATTGGTGAGAACACTGGGGTAAATGGTAGAAAAATATCACTTGAATCATTATCACTTTTATTATTAGTTTTTTTACTACTAACAGATTGATTAATTTGATAACTAGGAATTTCAAAGTCGGGTGAATTAGAACGAAGAGATCGAGAAGAAAAAGGGAATTGATGGGGTTTACAATTGAACACTTTAAACGTTGGACTTTTATTTTCATTTTCCGTTTTGATTTTATCATTTGATAATAACGTTTGAATTTCCGAACTAATTTCATTATTTTCATAACGATTTGAATTGTAACCGACATTTTTTTCCATTGAAAATAATGAAAAAAAAAAAAAAAAAAGGTGTATGGACTGACATGTAATGGAAAAAACTCAATTTCACGTTTTGCGTATGAAAATTAATGAATACATCTTAGATAAAAACAAAATAAAAAACTTTTCTTATATTTTTCTCCCACATTAAATTAAAATAATATTAAATCGAAACATTAATTAAATTAAATTAAAAATTACAACAATCAAACTTAACACTAAACTTAACAAGAATACTTTACAGAGAGAGAGAGAGAGAGAGAGAGAGATATAACGAGCGCGTTTTCGTGTCGGAAAACTAAAAACAACTTGTCGCGAAAAGTTAAAAATTTGTCGCCATTTCGTTAAATACTCAAAGTACGTTATTATATACATGAATGCAATATGTATCAAAAAAAGCAAATTTTTAAACTGAGCGTTTTAAAAGAATTATTAAATACTGAAAATAGTTGCGTTTCGATAATATCAACAAATAGAGAACTCGCTTTGCCGCCATGTTTTTTAAATAATATTAAAAATGGAATTTTTTTCATTTTAAATAACGCATTAAAAAAATATGATCCAGCGTGAGTGAAAAAAAAAAAAATTATATTTTTTAAATTTATTTTTTAATAAAAATGACACGAAATTGTTTAAAGTACCCAAAAAAAAAAAAAAAAACTGACACGAATCATTATAAATTATCAAACCCTTCAATGATACTATTATTCTTTACTATTTTAGACTTGATGGAATTTTAATAGGATATCAAAAAGTAAAAATTATTATGGATGATAGAACTGGTCTCATACCAATGGGAGGAGCAGAAAGTAGAGTTAAAATCAACGTTGAATTTTACGTTTTTCAACCTAAAATTGGCGGGTATTTACAAGGCATGTCTACTCATTAAATAACAAATATCGATTTGTAATAAAACTCATTTTGAAATGTTCCTTTAAAATCAAATAAAAAACATATTATTGACCATTTTCTTTTTTTTCTCACAGGTGTTGTAAATAAAAAAAGTAATCAACACATTGGATGTTTGGTACACAAATATTTCAATGCCACCATTTTGAAACCTAATGAAATCGATTATCAAGATTGGGATGGTAAAAATATTAATGTGAACGATAACATTAAATTTAAAGTGATCGATTTAGATTTTTCCGATGTTTTACCAAGAATCGAGGGAAGCATTGAAAAATTTAATTCCGAAACAAGTGAGGATATAATAAAAAAAATTCTCATCACTGAAAATGTTAGAAAAGAATGCAGCAATGATGATGATGATGATGATAATGTTGAAATGGAATTATTAAATTCTGATAAATTTTGGAAGGAAAAATTAGAAAATTGTACAAAATGGCCTGAAATGAATGAGAGCATAAATGATAATTTGCAATCTGCGGTAAGATTTACTCCCCTGTATGGAAATTTACATGTTTTTGTTTTACCCCCCCCCCCTTTTAAAATTTTGTTTATTATTTTATTAAAGAAAAAAAAGGGTGAAAAAAGAAAAGCAGAAGACGTTGGTGATGATAGCGAAGTTGATAACATTCATAATGGTCACAGTCAATCATTACATAATAGGAAAAAGAAACGAAAAAAACATGATGAGGAATTATCGGAGGAAAGGGAGACAAACGACAAATTTGTAAAAGTAAGAAAATGATTTTTAAATGAGTAATTATGACATTTTTTAAATCTTTTTATGTTTCTTTCTGCAGGATGAATTAGTAGTCGAAAGAGATTTGATAAAAGAAAAAAAAAGAGAAATAAACGACGAGGTTACGGAAACGAACGATAGTTTTTTTTCCAGTACACAAATAGAAGTACCAAAAAAAATAAATATTGATTGTTTTAGTCCTATACTGTCGACTCCAACGGGAAACGATGTAAAAAAAGTCAAAAAGGAATCGAAAACGAAAGAAAAAGGAGGAGGAGGAGGAGGAGAAGGAGGAATAAAAAATAAAATGGAATATGAAAAAATGAAATTGATTGAAAAATTTTTAGAATGCGGTGAAAAAAATTCAAATGAGGAATCGAAAGGCGGTGATGAAAAAAGGGAAGGAGAAAAAGGGGCGGAAGAATATAAAAAAAAAGAAAAAAGGTTCAAGAAGAAAATGAAGGGAAAAGAATCAAAGGAAGATGAAGAAAAATCATTATTGCATTCGAAACTTTTACAAGATGCATTGGATTCATTGAATTCATCTCAGGACGATCCTGTGGGAGGATCCGTGAGTGGGAAAAAGGAAACAAACACACAAAAATCCACAATTAATGATAATGATAATGATAATGATATGAAATGTTCAAATGAATTTTTAATCGGTGACGATGTTATAGATAACGTTAATAATAATAATAATAATAATAGTAGTAAAGCAAACGATGATAAATGTAAAAATAAAATAAAAAAAGATAAAGATAAAAAGAAGAAGAAGAAGAAAAAGGAGAAAAAGGAAAAGAAGAATAGGAGTAAAAGTAAAAGTAGAAAGAATACGTCCAAAGAATTTCTTTGCACTGAATTACTTAAAAACGCTTTAAATTATTTAAATTCTATTAGCGAGGATGCGGATGATGTTGTCAAAGAAGAGGAGGAAAAGGGGGATGAGGGGAATGAAAAAATGGGAACAAAGGAAAATGATGATCGGGAAGTGGAGGAGGGATTTATAAACAGCAGCGATAATTCTTCGGACGTTTTCGTTAAAGAAAAAATTATAAATAAAAAAAGAAGAAAAAAAGAAAAGAAAAAATGTTAAATTTTATTATCTATAAATAAAATAAAAAAGTAATAATAATAATAATAATAATAATGATGACGTTATTATTACGGTAACGGCCATGGCAAACCGGAAAAATCAACGGGACCACCCAAACCGGCATCGGCTTCTAATAAACTCATAATGACGGCCATAGCCGCCTCGTCATTTCCATCCGTTGTTGATGCCGCCGTTTGTTGAGGTGATGATGATAATGATTGTTGTTGTTGTTGTTGTGTCATGACCGTACCGCTCATCATTTCCAACATTTCGGCATCTTTAAAAATATCCCGGAGGGAAGGGGGGGGATCCAATCGATAATTATTATTATTATTATTACGAAATTAAATAATATTGATTTTCTTACCTGAATCATCGATTCCAGACGATGCTGCCGCCGTTAGTGACACGTTATTTCTTATACTGTGATGTTTAATATTAACGTTATTCATATCGTTTAAATTAATTCTTTGTAGGGATGAAATACGTCCGTCGTTATCACTTGTCGACATAACCGACTGAAATTGAAAATTACGATAAATTTTTTTATATAAACAAAAAAAAATGTTTGTTGGGAAGAGAGTTAAACCGAACAAACAAACCTCAGGGTTTGATGTTGTTTGTATCGTGACGTCAGAAGCATCGATACCACTCGGTGATGGCGTATTCGCATAATTATTGTCATCGCATCTTCTCAATACGATTTCTCTTGCTATTTGTTGTCCTATGAGACTCGGACCGACGTGAGAAGATGGAACTCTTTGAACGTTCGTTGAAAATGGATCGTAATTTCTATTCGATTGTGTCGGTCCTTCCGACCTTATTACGCTACTGTCAACCGTTCTCACATCAGATCTGTAATTTTAAATTTTTCTTTAAGCAAAAAAAAAAAATTTAAATTTCGTCGTAAATTGAGGGGGGGGGGAATCGAAAAAAAATAATTACAAAACGACAGAATTTTTCGAAATTAAATATTCTATATCTTTCGTCCATGGATTTTTAAACGGTTTCCATTCGCTTTGAATTCTTATGTAACTTCCATCTTTCGTTCTTAATCTATAACTTTGCGTTTTCGTCACTTGTAACGATTGTAATGCTAATTTATGAGTTTCCGAAAGCGTTCTGATATCTTCCTGATGAAAATATTCGTAAACGTTCGTGCCGATGAGTTCCTGCGGTAGAAAACCCAACATCAACGTTGCTCTGTAATAAAAAATTTTTTTTTTTTATGTAAACTTTTTTTTGTTTACGTCGAAAAGAAATTTTTTTTTTTTTTGTACCAAACCTTTGATCGACGAATAAAAAAGTACCATCGATGGCATGTCTCGATACGAATGGAAATTGTCTTATGTTAGCCGTTGGAAAATAATAATGTAAATTATTATTCATTTGAGATTGTATTCGTCCGACGGCAACCAAACAAGATAAATTACAAGATTCGCTATCGTTTTCTCCTTCAGTTTCTTCTAAACCCAATTTAACAGGCGGCCATGATTTTAAATAACCCGTACATTGTATCACGTTATATTTCCTATCGGAATTTGATTGTTTTTTTCTCGGCCTGTGACATCCTGTCGTCGTGTCGGCTTCTTCCTTGACGTGAAACGATCCTCTACATTTCATGCGGCATAGGAATGAACGTCTCGCACCTGGACACAATCTCGATATACCTGCCGGTTGAACGTCCGTTTTAACGGGTAACATTGCTGTGAAAATATTATACGTCACGTTAAAATCACAAATTTTAAAAGAATGCCGAAAATACTCAAATTTCTCTTACTTTTCGAATCGATTAATCTTTCTCTCGGACTTAAATCCGATGAGAAAAGTTGTTCTTTGACTTTAGCCACGTCTTTCGGATGTAATATATCGAACCAACTTTGTCCGAGTAAATCCGATTGTGAATAATTTAATATTTCCGATACGGATTCCGACACGAATAATATTCTTCCTCTGTCGCAACCTACGACGAATAAAAAACCATCCGCGGCTTGTAAAATAAGATTTTTTAATTCTTCGTCTGATAAAAATGTCGGTTTGTAATGTCCTTCCGTGTAAGAATGAACCGTTCCTCTTATCGATCTGTAACGTTTGATAATAATTGTGATGAGTATGATAACGCAACCGTTACGCAATTCGTTTAAATGTAATAACAACCTGAGATGTTGAACGGCCATTCTTAAAACCGTCAACTTATCCAATTTTCTCGGATTTGCGTGACAAATGGGTACCATGTTTGCCAATTCTGTTATGTAAGTGTTCATTTTATCCCTTCTTCTTTTTTCAATCTCGCTATGATTTTGTCTAAAACAAACAAACAAACAAACAAACAACATTATAAAAAATTCCAGAAGGAAAATTTCTTTTCATTATAAACTTCTTACTTTTTATCATCGTTTGTACGAATGGTTTTATCATCTTTTCCCACGACGTCATCATCAAAATCTCTATCAACAGAAAGAAAAATATTAATAATAATAATAATAATACAAATTGGAAAAATGGTTCCAAAAAAAAAAAGAAACCTTTTAAAATTTCCTTTTTTTTTTTTTAATTGAATCATTTATTAAAATAAAGAAAATAATTATTATTTGAAAAGAAAAGCAACGACTTTCCTTTCCTTTAATAATAATAATAATAATAATAATAATAATAATAATAATTTTCTTTATGTTTTTTTCTTATTCCCCGATTCAAATTATTATTATTATTATTATTGTTTCGTTCGTATTAATTACAAATTAATAATACAAAAAATATTACGTAATTATTAAAAATGTAAAATTTTTCTTCTTTTCAACAAAATCTTTCATCAACAGCATCTTTGAGAGAAATTCTTGTTATAATAATAATAATAATAATAATTTAAATTTTTAGTTTATCTCCATGGGATTTCCTAACGGTTAATTAATCTTTTCAAATCAATGAAACGTAAAACAAAAAAAAAATATTTCAAACGATAACGAAATCGTCGTTATTAGTCAATTAAAAATAATAATAATAATAATAATAATAATATCAATACATTTTAAATAAAGTTTTTTTTTTTTTTTTTTTTTTTTTTTACTACTACTTACTGATGACACGAATTTTTTCTTTTTCCTAATATTTTATGTTCTCTTATTGTTTGTTGTATTCCATTACCGCCATTTTGAAATTGATTTGACGAATTCCAATTTTCTGGCCTCCTCCGTATTAAATTTTTTATTACATAAAAAATATAAAAAATTAATAATAATAATATGTAATTTGCTTACCTTATATATATATCGAAATGTTTCCATCCCCCTCCCCTTCCCCTTCCCTTTCCCACCTTTTATTAATAAAACATATAAGAAAGTATAAAACACACAAATTCATTTTGTAACGGTCGTAATAATTTCAAATGGATTCCATTAAATTATAATTCGTACGTACGTCCGTACCAACGTCCCCTTCCCATGTTTAATTTATTTAAATAAATTTAAAAGTTTAGGTAAAAAAAAAAGATAGAATTTGATTTAAATAAATTTAAAATAAGTTAAAAAATCAAATTTACGCGTTTATCACTTACACTTAAAAATACAATAAATGAATAATTTTAATTGCTATATGATTTTGTCGTTTGATATAATTCTTAACCGCCATTTTGATTTTAATGACGTAATAATGACGTATTTGCAATTATTGTCGCGCGAGAGAGTAAAGGGATGAGTGTAAAAATCATAAAATAATTAAACGTTTTTTGTTTTTGGATGTAAATTTTATCATAGAGATAAAAAAAAAAAAATTCTTGGAAATCGTAATTAAATATATGCGTGCAAGCGTTCGCCATTTTGAATAAATTATTTTTTGATTCGATTTCGATTGTTGTTTTTAAGATAAGAAAACAAACAAACAAAAAAAAAAAAAACCGTTAAAAAGAAAAGAAATTCAAATGAAGAATAAAATGGTAAGTGGGAATTAAGATTTTAATTCGTTTATAACTGAATGATTTTAAATTTGAAATTAATAAATAAATAAATAAATAAAACTTACGAGGAAACCATTAAATCGTAATAAGAATTTTGCGTTTGTATGGAATGATTCGGTTGTTGAACAATTTGTTGTAACGTAACCGTCGCGTGTCCCGATTTTAAATTTTCCATATCGACATATTCCCTTTCCTCTCCAGAACTATCCAGAATCCTTGAAAAAGACGACGACGACGAAGAAGGTTCTTGCATTCCAATATTTGATGTCACCATATTTATTTGCATCGTGTGATAATAATAATTTTCCCTTAATTTCTCTTTTCTTCTTCTTAAATCAAAGTAAAATAAAAATCCTACAAACAAAACTCGACGATTTAATACAAACGTTAACAAACAAATAAAAAATGATACATTTTTTTTTTAAATTTTAAATTTTTTTTTTTTTTTTAAACAGCCATCTTACTGAATTTAATAATCATGAAAAATGAATCTAATCTAAATAATCTATAAAAAAAATGTGCATAAAGTTTTACATTAAACTGACCTAAAAGTTTTCCAAATTATCATTATTATTATCATTCATTTTTATTTTATTTTATTTTATTTTATTTTAATTCAAAAAACTTTAAAAATTTTCATTAAAATCCTTAAATTTTTGTTTTTTTTTTTTTTTCGCGATTGTTTTTAAATAAATAATAATAATAAAAACAAACTAAACAATTTTTTTTTTTTTTTTTTTTTTTTTTTTTTACGTTTGACAATATTAATATTATTCAATGAATCAATCAATCAATCAATCATTTCAAAACTAAAAATAAAATAAAACTATTTTTTATAGGAATCCGGAGAAAAATGTCGCAATTTTACAAAAAAAAACGTTTTAAAATTTTAAATTAAAAATTTTTTTTTTTTTTTTGTATAAATCGTTCCAAATCCATATACATATATATATTTTTAAATTTGTTTGTTTGTTTGTTTGTTTGTTTGTTTGTCCGTCTGTTTGTTTGTCTACCGTTTTTTTTCCCGACTTTTCAAGTAAAACTTTAAAAACAAACACTTTAATCGAACTAATTAATTAAGTTTTTTTTCTTTATAAATTACTTCCGATAGTTATTATTATCATTATTTATAATAAAAAAAACTCGAACTTGTTTGTTTGTTTGTTGTTTATTATCAACCTATTGATTGGTTAATAAAAAATGATCATATTTGTATATAATTCCATCATCTCACTCACCTGTTGTAAAATCCAAAATTGAATCCCCCACAACGCGGATATGGAATTGCCGAGTATGCGCATTTAAAAATAACTGGAAAAAAAAATAATAATAATAATGATAATAATAATTATGATAATTTTGTTGTGAAAAATAAAATGTTTGTTACTAGTTTCCGAGTAGTTTTTTTTTTTTTTTAAATTTATTTAAATTAATTAATAAAAGAAAATTCTAAAAAAAAAAAATTTTTTTTTGTAGGTCAGTAGAAGGAAAATCCAAAAAGGAAAAATGTTTTCTTCGGGGGAGGGGGGGGGAACAATAGAAGAAAAAAAATTAAGAAAATTTTCAAAAAACGTAGAAGCAAAAATTAAAAAAAAAAAAGTTAAAAAAAAACTTTTAAAATATTTATTAAAAGCCTTTGGAAAAATTGATAAAAGTACAAAAAGGAACAACAACAACAAACGAGATCGGATTTTCGTAATCCCGAATACTTTTTTTTTTCATTCGGATTAATATTAAAAAAAAAAAAAAAAGAAAAACAATCGTAGAATTACGTTTTAGGGGGGGGGGGGGTAAAGGATTTTCCCTACCTACAAAAAAAAATTAAGTATCGTTTTCTTTATGGGGATGACAAAAAAAAAAAAAAAATCAAACGTCGAAGACAATTAAAACACGCAAATATAATTAAAAAGAGGGACGAGAAATGAAACAAACAAACAAACAAACAAACAAACGACCAAAACAATGAACGATACTTTAAGTTTCATTCATATAACGATACGTGATTGTTTTTATAAAAAAAAAAAAAATACATCACAAACAAACAACAGGAAATGCTGCGACTTTTTTCACGAGGTACAATTTTCTCTCTCTCTCTCTCTCTCTTTTGTAAATTTAAAAAAAAAAAAAAAAAAAAAAAACGTTTCGAAAAATATTTCTAGAAATTTTTTAAATATAAAAACGATAAAATAAATTACGTAACGTCTTCATTAATAATTAAATAAAAACAAACAAAGAGAGAGAGATAGAGTGAGAGAGGAGGAAAAATTTTAATTATTTATTAAATAATTATTATTATTATTTCTTTTTTTATTCGAATGATAATAAGGTAAATGATCAAAAAACCGAACAATAACAATTTAGAATATTTGAGCATGTGAAAAAGAACAACATTTGTAGAAACACATACACAGACAATTTCAAACTTATATAAGCACACGCACAACCCGCACAAAGCTTGGAGACAAACAGACAATACACATTCAACTAACACAAAATATGTAGACATATATAGGAGCAAGAACACAGACACACACAAACACATTCAGGTACACAACAGATAAGGATGCAAACAGTTACACACAAGTACAGGCACATTCAGACATTTACAGACACATACAATCACACACACACTCTTACACACAAGTGTAGGCACATATAGACATTCACAGACACACACACAGTTACACAGAGTCTCCTACACACAAATACAGGCACATTTAGACAAACACAGACACACACACACTCTTACACACAAGTACAGGCACATTCAGACATTTACAGTCACACACAAAGTCTCCTACAGACAAGCACAGGCATGTATAGACAGATACAGTATATACAGACAGATACAGTCACACACAGACTTCTACACAACAAATATAGGCACATTAGACATTCACACACAGACTCCTACACACAAGTATAGACAAATTCAGATGTTCACAGACACCACACTCTTACACAAAAGTACAGGCACATTCAGACATTCCCAAACACATACAGTCACACAGAATCTCCTACACACAAGTACAGGCACATTCAGACATTTAGAAACATACAAATTCTGCACACAACTTGCATAACACACATACACATACACAAACACACGCACACACACACACAATAATACCATGATACGATATTGTGACAAAAATAATACTCTCATTTCCCCCCCCCTTCTCCAGTTATATATTATAGCTTTAATTATACTTTTTTTTTTCTTCAATTTATGGAAAATAAACAAAATTAATTTTTTCTGTGTTCCATTATACTGGTTTCAATCTTAAAAAAAAAAAAAAAATTAAGAAAAAGAAAATAAATAGAAAATATTTTTTGTAAACTATACTTTTACAAAAAAAAAAAAAAAATCTATTTTGTTGGAAAATAAGCGAACCAGATATTTTTAATTGATTGATAAAAATAATAAGAAAATTTTTTTTTCCCCCCCTTTTTTTTAGTTTTATTTACTTATTAAACCTTAAATTTAATTATTATTTGCCAAAAAAAAAAAAAAAATTTTTGGCCTGTGTTTTATGTTGTGCATGTGTTTGTTGTGTGTGTGTGTTTCTGTGTAAGTTGATATGTGTTTGTAGGCTTTGTGTGTGTTGTTTGATTGTTACATTGATTTGTATGCTTCCTACATGTGTTATGAGTGTTGTGTGTACCTGTGTGTGCTTTGTGTATCATTTTGTAGATAGTTGTGTGTGTTGTATGTGTGTTTCTGTGTGAGTTAATGTGTGTTTGTAGGCTTTGTGTGTATTGTTTTATTGTTACACTGATTTGTATGCTTCCTACATGTGTTATGAGTGTTGTGTGTGCTTTGTGTATCACTGTGTGGGTAGTTGTATGTGTTGTATGTGTGTTTCTGTGTAAGTTTATGTGTGTTTGTGGGCTTTGTGTGTGTTGTTTTATGTCCCTCCTTGGTTACATTAGTTTGTATACTCCCTGCTTGTGTCATAAGTGTTGTGTGTACCTGTGTGTGCAATTGTATGCTTTGTGGATCAGCTTGTGAGTTCCTGTATGAGTTGTGTGTGTGTGTGTGTGTTAAATCTGTGTACTGTATGTTTATGTTAAGTATGTTTGGGTTGTGTCATTTTTGAGTACTTTTGTGTATCCCTGTACCTATTTATGAGTGTTTCAGGTTTGTGTTATGACCTATGCATCAAAACTTAAATATTCAAAAAATTACAAAAATTAAACCAATTTCAATAAAAAAATCATTATTAATCTTAAAAAAAAACAACTTGGACTCCGTAAAATTCATTTAAAATAATAATAATGATGATAATTATTATCATTATTATCATTACAAGATGAATTTTTTTTTTTTTTTTTTTCCTTTTTATTAAAATTTTCACCTTTGAATAAAAATTCTCATCATTATTATTTATAAAACAATTTTACGTTTATCCATTATTATTATCATTATTAACAACATTTTTTTTTACTTAACGAGAAAGAAGAAGGAGGAGAAGGAGAAGCAGAAGAAAAAGGCGGAATTGTTACCTAATTAATAAATTGATAAAGATGGTCAATTATGTGTTCCGTTCCCTGATTGCGCATCGATAAAAAAAAAAAAAAAAAGATGATTTCTTTTTTCTTATTAGTCTCAATACGACCCCAGTTACTTTCTTCCCCCGGGTGGGGAAAAAAAATTTTCTTTTTTTCGTTCGTAAGTCCACCCCCTACCTCTCCTCCCCCCACCTTCCTTTCCATCCGCCATTTTAAAAAAAAAAAAAAACATCCACCTTTACCCTTAACGATATTTATTATCATTAACCTTGAAATATTATATCTTTTTATTTATATTTTTTTAAATAGAAAATTGCCAAGATGATGACGTAATAATAATTGTGACGTCGTGTGACGTCATCTCCCTTTGATTAAGTAATTTATTAATATTATTAAAAGGTAAAATAATTCATTGCGATAAAATGATTATTATTATTGTAAATTTCAGGTTTTAACCTTTTAAACTCTTTCGTCCTACTCGTGAAGATGATGATGATAATGATGATATTGATGATAATGATGATGATTTTGGAATCAATATGAATTTGAAAGAAAGCAATATTGTTACGTTTTCGTTTTTGTTAATAAAACCGTAAATAAAATTTTATGTACAACAACCAGCCTGATTACCTGCCAGCCTGTCATTTACATTCATTACATTGAATGGGGGGAGGAGGAGGAAGGATGGGGGACCTCACGTAGAGCAATGAAACAAAACAAAAAAAATTTTTTTTATTTTTATTTCACGATTCGTTTAAAACCAGTACATGATACTTCCCCCCCCCCCTACAATATAGTTTCTGTTTTAAACATTTTGTAAAAATTTATTATTCTCAAAAAGGAACCATGGGATGCTGTACTACTATTATTACTCTATATGCTTTACTTTTAAATAAAGAAAAAGAGAAATCATATTGATGATTTAATTTTATTTAACTTTATTTATTGTTATTTACAAGAACAACAAATAAAAAAAGTATAAAACGTTTTTTAATTCTATTTCTTTTGATATTTTCCCTCCATCCTTCCTTCCTCACACTTTTAAGGATTCTTATTATTATTATAATAAATAATTAATTAATTTCTTACCTTTATTTAATTGTTCCTTTTCTTTTTTCTTTTCTTCAAATTTGAAATTTTTATTATTTAACAACTGACGCGACATTTACAAAGTAAAAAAAAAAACGAATGGATTTATGTAATAAACGGCGGTTAAAATAACAAGAGGAGGCCATGTTTGCCCGCGATTTAACAAAATCGTATTTAAATAAACAAAATCGAACGAAACGAGTTTTATATAAAATAATACTTCGTTTACCGTATTAAATACAATCGCGCAAATATTAATATATAAACTATAATTTAAAATGAAATAAATAAAACAAATAAAAAAAAAATTTTCACTCGAATGCTTGTGTCGTACAATAAAGAATTTAACGTAACGGTCGAAATGAGATTGACGTGGTTTTAGAATACTTTTTTTTCTCAAAATCGGTTGGCAACTTACAAAACTTTTCCCATTAAGATATTAATGAAACATTGAAAATTTTTATAATTTATTTTATTTTATTATTTTTTGTAAAAAAAAAAAACGTTTTAAAATCGAAATTCAGTTAATATTTATCTCTTCGTTTTAAAAAATATTTTCATAAAAGAATTTAATGTGTGGGTATGGATAATATCATTAAATTTTCAAATCATTTTCTCAATAAAATTTCTCGATAAATCAAGTTTTAAATTTTAATAATTAATAAATAAGATTTTTAAAATTACATTACGTGGTACTTAATAATAATTATTTACAAAAGTTTATGTTTTTCTTATAGAAATTAGTCGTTGGGTTTACAAGTTTTGTTTTTATGCCCTAAGTACGGGACGTTCATTTTTTCCTTCTAATTTTTCATTAGTTTTTGAATATCCTGTTCCTCCCTAAAAAATAAATATGATAAATTATATTAAATTAACATATTTAATTATATTTTATCATATTTATTTGTTAAAAAAAAAAAAAAAAAATGTCATTTAAATAAAAAAAGTACAATTCACTTACCCTTTGCAATAATATTATATCAGATTCTGATATTTTCTCATTTGTCAATGGATGAATCCAATCTTTCTTTATTATTTTTTCGACACACTCCAATGTTACAACATCACCCCTGTAAAATGATTCACACGATTTAAAAACGGTTTTTAAACAAACAAAATGATGAGAAAAAAATAATAGAGACATACGTCTGTTTTAATACTGCAGCAGGTACAGCATTGCTTAAAACATCATGAGTCACAGGACACATATACCTGACTTTTTTAACAATTATTGATTTTTTATCATCGGGATCTTTAACTTCTGTAAATTTGACAGGAATTAAATCTTTCATTTTTAACGGTTTACCACTCATCGGACAATAAATTGTTTTGTCCTGAAAAATAAAAATAAAAAAATAAATTTTAAATTTAAAATATAAAAAAAAATTAACGTTTCAAAGTAAACCAAATCGTACAGGTTTTTCCATTTTTGAAGTTTGAGCTTCTGGCGTCATGGATGGAATCCAAAAACTTGGTAATTTTTTATCCCTACCATTTGCCATGTTAGACACTGTCGATTGTTCACCATTCGTCTTGTCATCTTTGACTAATCTTTCAGTTACTATATTTTTTTCGCATGATAAAAAATTTTTAATTTTAGATAAATTTTCAGCTTGTGCAAGTTCAGCTAATTCTTCTTTGTCTTTATTTTTTTGTTTTTCATATTCTTTTAATTTTTTAGCATATTCAGTTTTTTTTTTGATTATGTATTCCAATATGGCTTCTTTGTCGTATAGAAATCCATTTGGACTGTGAAAATAAATATAAAAAACAATTGAATCGAATAAATACAACCATTACATTTTATGACATTAGCACCAACAAAGCATTTTCGACATGGAAAATTTTAAATCATCTTACGTAACAACTGGATTTCTGCATGGCTGTAACGTCAAACAACAACAATCGAAATCTTTTACAGAATCTTTTCCAACTCTTTGATTTTCTGTACCATATCCGGATGCAGCTGCATCTTTTTTTTTCTCGTGATATGTATAAACAGCACCTGCTGTACAATTTCTAGCATGACGAGTCATGAAACCTAAAAATATTTAATTAATATTTTCTATTTGTTACAAAAATAAAATTAAAAAACAATTAATACGATTCGTTATAAAACTTGCCTATTTATTTATTAATAATAATAAAAGTAATTGGTAATAAAAACTTGATAACAAATGGTAATAGTGTGTGTGTGTGTGTGTGTGAACTTTCTCTGCTTCCACGTCAACAAGGTTTGTTTTGAGCAACCTTAGAAAATCCGTCACACACAGATATATTATCATTAATAAATGTTTTTCTTGTGATTTTTATTTATTTCCTTTAACTTATTTATATGAAATAGTTATTATTTATATAATATTTTTCAAAACAATGTGTTTTAATTTTTTTATTAATAAGAAAACCGAGTGACGTGGAAGTTTTTTCTTTTTTTTTTGTTTCATATTCATCTTGTGTGTGAAAGCCAAATAAAGTTTTGTATATATCAAAATGTTTGAGGTGACCGATTTGCAAAGTAAGTTTTCATGACTTAGCAAAAAAATTAAATTATTTAAATTTGTTAAATGAACTCTCTCATTCGATAACTCATAATAATAATTTTGTTTTCAGAAATTGGAGTTGGTTTCGCTGGATTTGGTATTGGTTTTATGATTCTCGGTGTCATCTTGTTATTCGATAAAGGTTTATTGGCAATAGGAAATGTGAGAAGTTTAGATAAATAAATAATTATTTAATTGATAAACAAGTTAATGAAGAAATAATTACTTTTGTAATCGTTAACTCATTTACAGATATTATTCATTGTCGGATTAGGATGTGTTATAGGACTTCAAAGAACATGTAGATTTTTTTTTCAAAAGCATAAATTTAAAGCTTCAGCAGCATTTTTTAGCGGGATTTTTGTCATTCTATTGGGTTGGCCTTTTATAGGAATGATATTAGAAACTTATGGATTTATATTATTATTCAGGTGATTGATTGATTGATTTGGAAAAAAAAATTATTTGATTTCATATCGCTTAAACTTGTTTTTCTACAAACATTTTATCGAACGATTTGAAACATTTTCTTTTTGTTACAGTGGATTTTTTCCCGCTGCTGTTAACTTTTTAAGAAGAGTACCATTATTGGGAACTATTTTAAATTTACCAGGAATTAGTATGGTAATTTAATTTTTTTTTAAATGAAATTTTACAAATGGCATTATTTAATAATAATACTTTTCGATGACTGTTTTTCGTTGTTCGAAATTATTCATTTACTTATTTATATGTTTCACATTTCGAACATCGACTTTAAACAGTTCATTCTTCAATTATATTTATTATTGCCCTTATAAAAATCCTTTTAATTAATATTTTCCTTTTTTTTTTACTTATAGGTGTTAGATAGACTTTGTGGAGATTATAATAGAACTACAGTTTGATTTAAGATAATAAAACATAAGTGAATAGTTGTTAATAAGTGTCTTACTTGAACCAAAAAAAAGAAACATATATACATTGAACTGTCATTCCTCACAGATCAAAAGATCTGACATTCTCAATTCCATTACAACATATACATATATATATATATAAACTTTATGTATTCGATAAATGTAATTAAAAAAACAAAATTGACACGAAATTTACTCAATCAAGTTTTGAAAATGTTTGTTTATATGTTATAATTTATTGTGAATGAATAATAATAATAATAATAATAATAATAATAATAATAACAATTGGCAGCAATCGGTCTAATTAATAATAAATAATTATATTTTTTTATTTAATTTTTTGAGATTGATTTTAAAAAGAAATTATTTTATTTTAATTTCGTTTATTTTGTTTTTTTTGTTAAATGAATTACATCATTTGTTATACATTCCTAATAATTTTAATGTAAGAATAATAATGATTTCAAAAAAAAAAAAAAAAAAAGTAATCGAACATGAGATTTTTTTTAATTTTATGATAATAATAATTATATGAAGAATACAAAAGTGTGAGAAGTTTTAATATGGAGAAGAATATAATTATACAAGATTTATATTATTTAATGAAAATAATGTGTTAAAAAAGAGAAAAATGCATAAATTTTACAATGGCAAACAAAATATTCAACTACAAAATAAATGAATGGAATATGAAGAAATGAAGAAGTGAAAAAAAAATGGCGACGATTTGTTATTTTTTACATATAAAATGAAAATTTTAAAAGTATTTACCAGTTATATGAATAGTTTTCCCTTTTTCTTAATTATTTCTTAATTAACAATAAAAAGTTACGAACATTATTAAATTATTGTTTTTAACCCGACATAAAAATTACCGTTATACGTAACGTACGTTCTTTTCCCGCGTAATTAATTATCCATCTAATTCCACGTTTAATTATTAATACCTTAACGTATTCTCAATAAATAAAGAAAACAAATACTTTTTTTTCATATTTTTTTTAAACAACGTTAATTTAAAACAAAAAGAAATAGAACTTACCTTAAATATTAATTAATTTTCTTTCGATTCGAAATAACGTAACTCCATATTTTCCATTTTTAATAAAAATTTAATTTAAATAATATATATGTACACTCAACGTTATTAATCGTAATGTAATCTTTATAACGGAATCGATTTTCTTTCTTTTTTTTTTTTATATTATCTTTATCGTCCTTGAAATAGATAAGGATGTAATTTAAAAATAAATAAAAATTAGGTTTTACACTAATTTGACCTATGCCCACATTTGAAAAAAAAAAACAATTAAGCATTATTTACTTAACGAATTAATAATAAGCATTTTTTTGCCACAACCGTCATCTCTCTTTAAAACCTAACACGTTACTAAACTATTAACCGGAAAAGGAAAAAATAAATTAGAAACCGGAAATGGAATAGAATATTTCCCACTAACTCATCACGTTACCTTCTTTATATAATTCAAACCCAGGTAAGTTTCCTCCTTTTTTTTTTTTAAAACGACGGCCATTTTTATATTAAATTCAATAAAAAAAAATAAAATTTAAATAAGGTAAATTAATATTCGGGTCATATAAATAAAATAATTTTAATTGTGCCAAATCCATTGCCTACCCTTGCCAAATAAATTTATTTTTACCCTGGCCACCATCTTTCAATCTTTAACAAAACATCGTCTGCTATTTTCTTTCTCTCATTTCATACAACAACCACAAATAAATAAATAAATAAAACAAAACATTTTTCGTTATTTTTTCCATTTTTATTATTTTTAAACATTTTTTTTATCATTTTTATTTATTTATTTTTTTTAAAACATTTATTGATTTTTTATTATTATTTTCTTCAACATAATAATAATAATAATAATTTATTATTATTTATTTTATCATCGTTTACATAGAACTTTTTCTCATCGACGGTTTTTTTCTCATTTCTTTCTATCTTCTGTATCATCATCATCATCATCATTTGGATTAAAGCGTTTTTATTCTCGGTTATACCTAATTTGTTAAAATGTCGGCTGTCGGTCGACGACGACTACATAAATGCTACTACTTTTTTCTTTTTTTTTTTTTTCAAATATAGATATATATATATATATATATTTTGTCGATTTCGAGTAAACATAAACAAACAGATTTTGACTCTCAAAGAATGAAAACAAACAAAACAAAACCGGGATGCAAGTTAATAATAATAATAATAATAATTGATTAGAGTGAACAAGATAGTCAAAATCCATGTCTCATTTTCCTTTTCCCCTATTTTACCTTATGTTACAAAAATTCTATGGCGACATTAATTTTAATAATAATAATAATAATAATAATATTAAACGATTTATCGAGATTTCAGTCAAGTTGTAAAGGGAGGTAAAAGGGAGGAAGTGGGGAGAGAGGGAGAGGGAGTGTAGGAGAGAGAGAGAGAGAGAGAGAGTGAAAGGGGAGGGTAGGAGGGTTGGTTGTCTTTTTTTTTTTTTAATACTTGATCGTACCTCGATGAAATCCGACCTGATCTACTTGAATGATCAAAATGGAAAATACTAATTAATTTTTTTTCTCTTTTTTTTTTTTTGCAATAAGATTTTTTTTTTTTTTTTTTTCAATGAGTCCTAACGAACACGTGTTTACAATAGAGCTTTGATTTTATCGTAGAATACCAATACGAGAGCTCCTCCCGTACCTCTGAGAATGTTCGAAAAGGCTCCCTTGAAAAATGCTCCGCCTCCCTCTTGTTTGTAAATGACTGCCCAACAGTGCATCGTGTTCTTGTAAATGATTTCCGTCTTCTTACGACCCGACTGCATCATCATACGCCTACGTACGGTATCGAAGGGATAAGATACGATACCAGAAACGGTTGTCACGGCCTAAAATCAAACGACAAACACAAACACAAAATTAATTTTTTTTTTGTCTTCTTCTACTTTGACGCACTCATCATCATGTCGACGACATGCTCTTATGAAAAGAGAGCAAAAAAAAAAAAAAAAATTAAGGATTTACACATCGTGTGTACCTATAAACATCCACAGGTTTATAACAAAGGTTAGTAGTGATCGGTGATTGAGTTAGTTTCACTCATTTTCTTTTCCAATCAAGGTTTATTATTGTTATTATTGGACGGTTACAGGATAATTAGGGTGGACGAATTCGAGGAAAGGTCTACGAAAAAGAAAAAAAATAATAATGATATTAGTAACATTCGTATCATCTAGAGAGAAAGAGAGAGAAAAAGAGCAAAAACTTACTTGAGCAATGGCCCAAGAAACGAGGAAAGGCGTGCTCTTGGGATCGGGCAAGAAATCCCGGGCCGTGTCGTAGAGACCGAAATAGGAGGCTCTGTAGATGATGATACCTTGAACGGAAACGCCGAAACCTCTGTACAAACCCACCAAACCGTCGGATTTGAATATCTTGGCAATGCAGTGACCTAAACCGTTGAATTCTCTGTCGGCTCCGGCTTTGCCCACGTCGGCGGCCAAACGAGTACGAGCAAAGTCAAGGGGGTATACGAAGCAAAGGGACGTGGCACCAGCGGCACCACCCGAAGCTAAATTACCCGCAAAGTGACGCCAAAATTGAGTGTTTTTATCGATTCCGCCGAGGAAAATTTGCTTGTATTTGTCTTTGAATGCGAAATTCAATGCTTGAGTTGGAAAGTATCTAATTACGTTGGCAAGGTTACCACGCCAAAAACTCATAAAACCTTGTTCCTTTGGAATACGCAAAAAACAATCCACGATACCTAAAAGGCAAAAAAAAAAAAAAAAAAACAAAAATTATACACGCATAAATACAAATTCATACGCAAACGCGCACGTGCACACACGTGCACGCACAAACACACCTTAAAGGTATTGCAAAAGCAAAAAAAAAAATTTCAATTTTGAAGCAGACACAAACATAAAATCAATTTATTTATTTTAAACATTGTTATCAGTTCAACAACAGAAAAAAAAAATGAGATGAAAATTAGAATAAGGTAATGAGTTCAATGTTAATATATAGGCTATTTATTATTACACACACGCACACGCACACACACACACTCACATACACACATATCACAACTGATAATCAAAGAAGAAGACTCGAATAATTCTTAAATACTTCACAAAAAAATTTATGCAATCAAACACACAGGGACAAAAACATACACATAAAATGTGTCAACATAATAATAATGATTCTTCCCTCACATGATATGAAAAAAAAAATCATATCTATCGATTATAAATAATAATAATAATAATAAAAAAATGATCATCACATTATTAACCAAAATTCAAATATCGAAATGAAAATCATTCGAAATCAACATATAAAGTCAGATGAGAGAGAGATTGAGAGACAGAGAGAGAGAGAGAGAGAGAGAGAGAGAGAGAGAGACAGAGAGACAGAAAGAGAGAGAGAGAGAGAGAGAGAGAGAGAGAGAGAGAGAGAGAGAGAGAGAGAGAGAGAGAAGATAAACATTTTCACACTCATGAATGTGTGCCACCTTGGATGTCAGTCGACAAAATCAAACACCTTGAATTAAAAAATTTTTTTTTCGATAAAAGGTAAACAATAGGAAAATAATATTTTAAACATAAAAATATTAAAACAAAAACAAATTTCAATGCTTTTCAATATTGAAAAAAATAAAAAACAACCATAGGCAACATACATATATGTTAAAAGAAGATAGAGAGAGAAAGATAGAAAGAGAAAGAGAGAAAATTATTATAAAAAAAAAAAGTAAAAGTGGTAAGAGATGTTATATTAAATAAAAACCGAGTGTGTGTGTGTGTATAACAGGTTTACATCATTATGCAACAATATTTTTTGTTCGATATGATAAAAATAATTTTTTTGTAATTTTGGATTCAATTTCTTGGCAAATAATTATTTGTTCTAGTTAAAATGATGGCAAATTTTTTATTTATTTATTTATTTTATATTTGACATTCAAAAAAATTTTGGGATGAAATCAAAAAGATTCAAATTATCTCGAGAAGACAAAAAAATTCTCCTCACTTGTTCTACATGTACAAAATTAATTTACAAAATCAGAAAAATTTTTATTCTTTTATTTTTTTTGGCATTAAATCAAATTAAATCTAGGATAAGCTAAAGAAATTATTTTTAAAAAAAAAAAAAGTGAATTGACCTAGGATTTTAGTTTAATTTCATTTGAAGGGCGGAGGAGGTGGCCCCATATTATAATAACCAATTAACAAATAAATTTTTTTCTTTTTTTTTTTCTAACCGTTTAAAAAAACAAAAAGGTATTTAATTAATCATCTCACGGCGATAATACTTCTATGAGATTTCAAATTATTAAAAAAAAATTTTCAACGTATCGATTTTTCATGGCCATTAATATCCGTTGACCCAGTTTTAATAAATTAATATCAAAATTTTGATAGACGAAAAATAATAATGAAGACATTTGACCTTACAAAAAAAAATAAATAAATAAATTCCAAAAAAATTTCAAGTTTATATCATTTTTTTAAACCACAAAATAAAATAAATAATAATAATGAATCCTTTGAATGAGTTTTTTTTTCGCACTCGAAAACCTTGAAAAAAAAGCAAATCCGCCGCCATCTTGTTTTTTTCAAAGTCTTCATTTTTTTCTCTCTCTTTACCCTGAATTATACGTTTTCCTTTGGCTTAACCTTATTAATTGATTTTTTTTTTTTTCTTAGAAAAAAAAATTTGGCATTGATAATAATATTTGAATTACCGGGTTTTTTTTTTTTTTCTACACGTATTTAATAGCCTTTAAACGTTTTTATGTCTATAATCCACACGTGGCACTCATTTGAAGTAAATTACTAATTGTTAATTTTCATTAGCATAATAACATGTCAATTCATTAAATATTGACTTTATTAATATTCGAATAAAAAAAAAAAAAAAATTCAAATATTGTTTCTAACGGTTCGAAATCAATAAAATGATAGAGTGAGAGAGAAAATTTTTTTTTTTTTCTTAAACATTGATCTCGTGATCGTATCAAGGAGACTTTTTTTTGATACAATCATCGATTTTTACAAAATCGACTAATCTTTTACACTTGTACGAATTTAATCATTATAAAAACGATTATTAAATAATAAAACAAAATATTATTTTAACCACTAACCTTTGTATCTTTGTTCTTCACTAATTTGCTTGGAAATGTGTTGAACTTGAAGAAGAAGTTTTACTCTTTCGATGGGTGCAACTGCCGTTTTTGATATAGCTGCAGAAATACCACCGGCAGCAAAATCTTTCATAAAAGAAACTGGATCAGCAAGATTTTTACCTGACATTTTGATTGTTTTTTTTTTTTTTTTTTATTTTTTTTCCCTCTGACTGAATTTGAAAACGACTTTACTACGAAAAACGATGTTAGGGCCTCGACTGTTGCCCGAGAAGAATTCTAACGGCAACCGAGCGACGAGAACGGGAGTCAAAAGAGATAGAAAATTCGAAGAGTGGGAGGGGCTTGAATAGTCTCCTGCCCCGATTATTAATCGATTCGAACGACATCTATACGTAATTTTTTGTAACTAAAATTTTTTTCAACTCGTTTTTTTTGTCAAGACCTACGTCAAACATAATTTCTGTTAACCGTATTTTTATTTTTAAAGGAAGTTGAAGGACGAAATGTAAAAATTCATAGAAAACAAACAAAAATCAATTATTTCAAACTAAATTTTATATTTTCGAGAAAGAGAGAGAGTGGAAAAAAACAATCGAATCATTCGTGAGTATCAAATGTAAAATAAAACAATTTATTATGACATTATTATATATGACAATAATAATAATAACAATAAAAAACCGTTGGAAAGAATGACGACTGCGATAAATTTAAAATTATCATCATTATCATCATCACTATTATTATTATTATTAAATAAATAAATTTAAAATAAATAAAATATCCCAAAATGAAAAAAACAAAAAAAACGAAAAAAAATTATTTCAATATTAATTCGATACGAATGTGTGTGTGTGTGTGAGAGAGAGAGAGAGAGAGAAATAGACGCAGAGATTATTAACGGATTAAAAAGTTTTAAATTTTACCGTTTATGACGTCATTCTCCTCCGCCATTTTGAAAAGATAAAAAGAACGATTGCGATTGGTGAAGAGTGAGGGGAGGAAAGGGGAGGGAGAGAACGTTCAGTTTATAAAAAACGAATTTTTCAGATCGATATGGCTGACATGCGCTGTCGGTTATTTTATTATTTTCGAATAAGAAAATGTGATATCATCATCAACTTAACATCGGGATTTTGTATTTTTGTTTTGTTTTGTTTTTTTTTTTGTTAGTTTTGTTTTCGGTCGTATAATATCGTTGAAAACGAAAGTAAATTGCTGACATTTGAAAAAAAAAAAATTAAAATAATAATAATAATAGTGACGACAACGAGACAAAACAATAGAATTTGAAAAATTTAATAACGGATTTACGTTTTTTTTTTTTTATTGGTTCGTACGCGTACGTTTGAAAATTATTTTATGTATGTGTTTTATGTGATAAAAAAATTATTTAAAATAAATAAATAAAAAACGAATAATAATAATAAGTATGATATTTATTAATTATTAATTTATTTTAATCGATTTTATCGCGTCGTTAATTTTTTTTTAAAAAAAATTTTAACTGGTGCCACTTTAAACGACAAAAAAATGATTTCTTATATTAAAAAGCAACAAGTTTATTTAATTTGAAACGTTTTTTTTTTTTTTTTTTATGTAAATGAATAAAATTTTAATTGTTTCTATTATTATTATTATTAATTAACATCGAGTGCCAAAATTAAAAAAAAAAAAAATGCTCAAAAAATGAAATTATGAACGTTATATATAATTTAAAAAAAAAAACAAAATGGCATTCCAACCGACTGGATTACAATTTTGTGCTTTATTTGTCATTATTATTAACATAGGTTATGGAGTTCCACCAACTACAGGTACAATTAACGATACCTTATTGATATAGATGACAATTACTCATTTATAATATTTTTTTGTCCATTCAAGGTATGAAAAATTGTGAAGGTTTTGGAGAATGTATGCTTTTTTCCGGTTATACATGTAAAAATAATAAATGCGTTTGCGATCCAGACGAATCGGGATTATATCGTTGCATACGTAAGTTTTTCAACAATTAATAATAATAATAATAATGGGGACATCTCTTTTAATACACAAACTATCATTTTTTCCAGCACCTAAATTATATGGGGAAAGATGTAATTCTGATCAAGAATGCCAATTGGGCGATTACAATCTTCTTTGTTTAAAAAATGATATAAGGATATGCAAGTGTAAAAGGTAATGAAGGAAATTCTTTCTAGAAAGTTCTGTTTGGATTGTGTGTGTGTGTACCTTAAAACCCTTAACAATACAAAACCTGTTCTATAGTATCCAATCATACAGCTATGATTCTACTGTCTTGAAGAGACAGTTCTTCACAAAATGAGATTGAGAAATAATAATAATAATAATACAAGGATTAATCTTATATTTAATTAAAAATAGGATTGTACAGTTGTTAAAGAAAACATACACACACACGCACACACACACACCGACAGAAAACATTTTTAATTAGTTATAATGTCACAATCGGTGGTCGGTTAAACAAAATGGCGGACGTGATTTATTTTATTTTTATTGCAGGGGTTACGTTTGGGACCTCGAAAGGAAAAAATGTCTTCCAACGTTAGATGATGATATGTACAGTGGAAAATTCGATCCAGTTAGAGATCTTATTATTCCAGGTTTAATTATAATGACAATAGGTGCCATGTTGTATTTAGGTTTTAAACTATTTTGTAACTGGTAATTATATATATTTTCATCATTATTATTTTTTAATTGTATTCCAATAAATAATAATAATAATTTTTGTAAATGAAATTAAGTGGGAAATTATGGAGAAGGAGAAGACATCAGGAAATAGCAAGAGAATTAGAAGAAATAAGTTCTGGACCACATCAACAAGCGTGGATAGCATCCTATAGAGTTTTCAGCCCTTATAATAATCCCGATAGATCTTCATCAGGTTTATCTCCGACTAGTTTTCCAATACATCCGACACCCTGTATGGGTAAGAGAAAACAATCAATTGTTTGTTTGTTTGTTTGTTAATGATTATTAATTAAATAGCGTGAGTGACAAAAAACAAAGACAAAAAATTTGTTAAACACAGCAAAGTTTTAGATGTTCCCAATAATACCTAATTTTTTTTTAGGTTTGTTCGTACCTAGCCAATCGATAACACAAAGTCCGCCTTCTTACGAAGAAGCATTAAAACATAAAGTTATATTAAGCAATTACAATCCAGGACCTCCAGTGGTGCCACCATACACTCTTCAAACATCTGACGTACAAAGACAATATCAAACTCTACAATCGAATCCATCACCCTCATCTAGTATTTTATTAAATACACCAAACGTTCAAAATTCTTCCGTTATAATAAAAACAACAACAACAACAACAACTTCTTCCGGTCATCATAGATCGTTTCCGGTTGGACAAACCGACGGTTATAGAGTATTACCTATTTCGAATGATTGGCCTGCACTTCAATACAACAACGGTACTCATAATGATAATGATAATGATAAAACATGTAATTTTACATTATTTTAATGCGCCCCAACCCCACTTCCCCCCTTTATTTTCTTCCAGGGACCACAAACCAAGTGTGGAACGTACATAATTCATCTCCATCCGTTTGTCGTCGTACACAAGAATTACAAATGATTCATCAAACGGATAATTCCGATAATATTATAGATGGTACCCACGTTCGAGTACCACCCACGGATTTCCTATCTCAACATCAAAGAAATTCACAAATACAAACGTCGAGATCGTCGGGAAGTCACAGACCCGGACAATCACAAAAAATATATCACGGAACGGAAAACGTGAGAAACAACAATCACAACAACAACAACAACAACAACAATCAAAACAATCGAAGAAACAGTTAAAACTATTTTTTTTTTTTACTGGAATTTAACTGGAAAATTTTCTCCAGAAACAATTTTAAAAAAAAAAAAAAATTGATCTCATATAATTTTTATTATTTAATAAATGGAAAAAAACATTCCTCGGACCAATCATCAATCATTTCTGTTATTCAAATCAATAACTATGTGATAATAATAATAATAATAATAAACTAAATGTGAAAATTTATTTTAAGAATGTTTAAAATTTGTATTGAATATATAACGAAAAAATCAAATATAAAAAATAATTTAACCGATAAAAATTAAAATTTATTTATTTAAAACCGTTTCACATATTTATTATTATTATTTTTTTTGGGTTTGATATAATCAATCAATCAATCGATCGATTCGTTATTAATAATGATAATACAATTGACAATTTTTTTTTTTTTAATTATCATATAAAACAAAAAACTTACATGTACAATGTGATTCAATAAGTCCATTATGTGTTTTGTTTCCGTGTTTTTGATGATAATAATAATAATATTATGTTTAAAACTATATCTATCTCTCTCTCTCACTCTTTCGCGTGCATTTATTTTCTTTTTTCCACATTTAATAATAATAATTAAACCGATACCTCATCGTTTAACATATATATATACATATATATATATATCAAATAAAATTTTTTTTTTTTTTATTATTTTTTAAATAAATTATTAATAAAATAAAAAAACATTACAAATCAGTCACGTGTTTAAATAATTACAATAATAATAATTAAACATAACAACTCGCGAATTAAAAACGATAATAAAAAAAGGAAATCAATCAAACTCAAACGTAATCTCAAACGATTGAGAAAACGAGAATTTTTCCTTTCTTTTTCTTTTTACTATAAATATATTTTCATTACGTATTAACGTGAATAATTATTAAAAACCTGAACTTAAACAAACGATAAATATAATTAATCAATCACGAATGCAAAAACTACTACACTCCCGCATAAACATTCATTTTTTTTATAAAAATTTTTAATTAAACATAACGGATATTCGTTCGCCATTACTTACTAAATCGATATATCGACGCATCGATCGATTCATCGATTCAAACTAGTCGTTTATTTTTTTCGCCGGTAGATTCGCTACTACACGTGTTTACGAGTGCGACGCGAGCGCGCGCCGCGTTCGCTCCCGTAACTAAAACATTTTTTTATTTTTAAATAATCAACAACCATTAATCATTCATTTATTTATTTTAATTATTTTCATATCTATTAAAATTATTATATATATATATATATATATATATATATATATATATATATATATATATTGATATAAATATAAATAATTAACGAAAAAACAACCAACTTTTTCCAATTATTATAATAATAATAATTTACAATTGAAAAAAAAAAAAAACAAAAAGAAAATTTCGATCGCCATTTTTATTCAATCATCTCATACCCCTTAAAACAAACGAAAATTCCGTTGATAATATTTTTTTATAATAATGATAACAACTGGAAATTTACAATTACAAACATTTTATTTATTTATTTATTAACTAATAAATAACTGCCGACTATAATATTTTTAATTATTTTCTAATTCATAAATAAACATGGGAACATCTAAATCAATTTTTCAAACCATGCGTGTAAGTAAATTATTTTTTTTAAAAATATTTTTTCAAATCAATAAAAAAAAACAAACAAACGAGCCAAAAAAATATTTAGTAGTAGCAGTAGTAAAATCCAAATACATCGTTACACGTCGATGAAATTCGAAAAGGAAAATTTCCAGTTTTCCAGGTTATAAATGAAAATTTATTACAACGTTTATATTATCATCAAACGGAAACGGTTACGGCGGCGACGTTAAACGAATGAAGCCGATTTTTTAATTTTTTTCTACGGATTATTATTATTATTATTATTATTATTATTATTATTATTATTATTATTAACGTATTTTTTTGTATAGGAACGAAAACGAAACGACTCGCTTGGCAAACGATTATTATTATTATTATTATTAATACGCTTTGGAAATTGTGCGTTCTTAGTGGTCGCGAGGTTTCGTAATGATGATGATGATGATGATGATGACTAATAACGGTTTTTTTTTTTTTTTTAGGTGAGTTCCGATCCTGAGCTTGGCTTTCTCGATACCCTGTTAATGAGCTTACGAAAAGATGCCGTCCATTTTGATCTTTCCAATTTGCATTTGGCACCCGTCGTGCTGTTGGTGCTTCCGCTACTACTCGTGACCGTTTGCTGCTTGGGATCGTATAATTCCGACGAGAATCCCGAATCCGATGAGAAAGCTCTGTTCGCGGGGGGAGCCGACGACGACGTCGCCGTCGTCATCGTCGTCGACGTCAACGATTCGTCCGGGTGCACGTCGTAAACGCACGTGCACGCAGACACGTTGTACGAACTTTCTCCCGCGCAGGGAGGAATGTTGTACGATTCTTCTCCCTGACCCGAATCGCTGCTCGATTCCGACACCGTGCTCGTTTCGTCAATGTAACTGATGTGCGGATTTGTTAAGCAAGAAAGTGGAAGGCTCGGACACGGGCTGGGAGAGGACATGCAAGTACCTCCTCGGCCCAGCGAATACGTGCGTCGGAAGGAATAATCTGACCTGACCGAGTGATAGGGCGAGGGTTGCTGATCGAGTCCCGGACACGTGTCCAAACTCTTATCCAAACAAGATGACGGATATTCGAAATCCGGTAGGCATTTGTCCAGTGGATCCAACTGTCCGGGAACGGGCCTCATCCAATTTCTCAAATCTTGAAACGGAGATTGAAAGCAAGCGAACAATTTCTTGCTGAAAATATAAACGAAAAAACGATAAAAACATTCGCACTCGTTCGTTCAAACGAACGTTCGCCGCCATATTTGTTTTTGCCACTCACTCGTTACGTCCGGCGTATTCTCCGAACGATGCTTTCGTGTACGCGCACACCGAACATTTTTTCCTCCTGCACGTCGCCAAGTGTTTCATGGCTTTTTTAAGTTGACTGTTGAGCGTCGCCGTTTGACGAGCCGCGAGTTTCAATTCCGAAACTTCCTTTTCCAAACCCACAACGTTTTCCGACATTCTTTTCTTCTGCAGGCTGAGATCCATGAGACAATGACCTGCTCCGGCACGCTCCACTTCCAATCTCTCTTTTAACTCTTCGTTCTACCCGAAAGAAATTATTTAAAAAAAAAATTAATTCATGCAAATACGATCATCATTCATTCATTCATTCATTCATTCATTCAAGATTGTTCGTTTTTTCTTCTTCTTTCCTACCCCCCTCCTCTTCGCCCCGCCTCCTCGTTCGATTATTTTATTTTTTTTTTCAACGTTTTAATTGAGCTCAACAAACGCAACAAAACAACCGAACGGGGCACGCGCGAGTTTTCTCTACGAAAACATTATTAAAAAAACAAAACAAACAAAACAAACACGATCTTGTTTCATCATCAACACAAAAAGACACGAAGGGAACATGTTTTCCATTTGTTTTTTTTTTTTTTTTTTTTCATTTTATAATTTGATCAATAAGACAACAGAAGAAACGCGAGAATGTTTTTTTTTCTATAAAAAAAAAACAATCGAACGCTCGCACGATTCTTCTCCTCACAAAAAAACAAATCGTTACAATTACACGCTTTTTAAACATGTTGGGGGGGGGGGGAAGAAAGAAAAAAAACAACAACGTGGCATCAGATAAAATCGACTGTGTTGGTGGGTGGGAACGAGAAAACACGAGAAAAAAAAAAAAATTGTTATTCACGACCGACCGTGACGGACGTCATCGTCATGACGAATCATTATCGTTCTGGAAAACGAAAAAATCCCCCGAACGGAATCGAAAAATATTTCGCACGGGGGGAAGGGGGAAAAGGGGGGGGGCGGAAAACTTGAAAACGAAGAGAGAAGAAGAAAAATCGTGGCTCCAGCAACTGGAACTCAATTAATTTATAATAATAATAACAAATCATTGGAAAAACGTATACGATAAAAAATTTCCAGACGACAAACGAAAAAAAAAAACAAAAAGGGGGGAGGGGAAACGAATAACTGGAAAGACTTTAAAATAATATTTTTTTTGGAAATCGAAAATAATAATAATAATAATAATAATAATAATAATGATAATGATAATAATAATAGCGATGATGGTTGATAGATAAAAATTCCATTGTAGAAATTTTAATTTTTTTTGGCAAATTTATTATCATCATCATCATCATTATCATCATCATTATTATTTTCTCGCGCAAGAGTGTTCAATGTCGAAATCGCAAAGTGTCTAAAAAAAAAAAAATTTCTAAGAAAGTGAAATTAAAAGATTTTTTTTTTTTTTTCGCTGGAATTTTGGAGAAAGAAAGAAAAGAAAAAACCGGTAAATTGATTTCGATGCCAAATTCGTCGAGAGTAAAAGCTCTCAATTAAAAAAAAAATTTTTTTTTTTTTTTTTCTCCAAAAACATAAAACTTGACTGGAGAAATTTTTTTTTACGCTTTTTAAGTTTTTTTTTTTTTTTACCTCGCGTTCCAGGAAATCCTTTTCCGCCGATATGGCCGTCACTTGTCGGACGATTTCCTGTCGAGCTCGTTCCAAACCTCTCCTTGTGTTTTCGGCTTCCTGCGCTTGCAATTTCAGCTGGAAAAATGACAATACGTTTTTACATTTTAAACAAAAACAACAAAGTTTTCCATTCAATAATAATAATAATAATAATAATAATAATAATAATAATAACAACACCATTATTATTATTATCAACCTTTTTTTTTCCTCCATCGAAAATAAAAAATTTCGTTTAAAAAAAAAAAAAATGTCGTACCGGACATTACGGATTTGAAAATTAAAAAAAAAAAAAAAAATTTCGACTTTCGATTAATCGATTTTTTTAAATTCGCGTTTTCGATTCGATATATCGAACGATCGTGATCGTCCTTTGTCTAAAGCCACGACACCCATTCATCATTTTTTACATAAGAGAAGAACAGAAGAGGAGAAGAAAAAGAAGGAAAAAAATTAATCCGAACGCGTCGATTTCCGTTCGCGTCCAATTAAGTAATAATAATAATAATAATAATAATACAATGCTCTCGTCGTTATTACAAGTTGGCCAACCTTGACTCGACATAAAATAAAATTTTAGGAAAAAAAAAAAAAAAAAAATCTTCTGCTCCGTTGATCACGTCAAAAAAGATTTTTTTTTTTTTAAACTTCTTAGCCTGTAGCGGACGTGCCCTCTCCCCTCCCCCTCCTTCCCTCCCTTTTCCCCCCACGCACGCAACATTCGCAATTAATTACGACAAAAAAAAATTATTCGAGCGTTTTAATTACTTTCGACCACCTTGTTAATTAACTCTTAATCATAATAATAATAATAATAATAATTTTTTAAACCTTTAAAGTAACCCGAGAAAGAGAGATAAAGAGATAGAGATAGAAAATTAAAAATTGAATCGATTCCAAAGTTTTCCAGTTCGTTTTGGAGAATTTTACGGAAAGAGAGAGAGAGAGAGGAATAGAAAAACCGTTAAAAATTAATTAATTTTAAATTTTTTTCAAACCCGAACGACGAGTCGATTGAGATTAAGACAATAAATAAATAAATAAAAAACCGGAAACGCGAAATAAAAATTAAACCGGAAATGGTCAAAAAAAAAAAAACATCAAAATCGATCGCGTTAATTAAGCAAGCGTTTTGCAAGAAAAGAAAAAAAATGAAAATTAATCACCTGAGCATAAGCCTCGTTTCTTTCCTTTTCCAATTTATCCTTCCAGTGGGAAAATTTTTCTTTTTCCGCTCGAAGCTGTTAGAATGAAAATAATAATAATAATAATATTAATAATTTTATTATGTTAAACATTTAAATAAATAAAAAAAGAGCTCAACACTCTTTTTTTTTAATGCTGCGCGGCGTTTGCTCGTTAATTGATTAATGATTAATAATAATAACAAAAATAATTAATAATAATAATAAATAATAATTAATAATAATGATAATAATAATGATAGAAGCAAAGCGGTAATATATTACTTCCGTCATCAAAGCCCTGTAACTCGTCGGTATATTTTTTACATTTAAATCCTTTGATCGATTCATGACGTTTATCCCCAACACTCGCAAAACTTCGACAAAAACAAACAAAACAAACAAACAAACAGACAAAAACTGTCGACTGTCCACAACAAGATTGAGCTACAATAATTAATGACGATGTCAGACGATGATGATGATGATGATAATAATAATAATTAAATATAATTAGGTTAATGTTAAATGGTTTCCTTCTTTTTTTTTATGTAGGTGTCGCATACGCACGCACACGCACGCACACACACACATTCACCGTTCATTGTACTGCAAACCGACATTTTTCCCCGCAAAAAAAAATTAAAAACTCGAGCTTCATCATCATCATCATCATCTCTTAATTTCCGCCATTTTAAAATACAATCGAATATTTTTTTCCATCTTCTTTCGGTAGTCAAGTCGTCGGTGTCTGTCTGTTTGTCTCCAAGTTCCAACCAAAACATTTCCATAGAAAATATCGCACTCAAAAGAGAAACAAAGACAGAAATAGGTGGGAAGGGGAAGGGGAAGGGAGGGGAGAAATAAGTTATTGATTAACGATATATTTAAAAAAAAAAACCCCTTCGCGACAAATTAACCCCAACAAACGTAAACAAAAATAAACAAAATGGCGTAGGAATGGAAATGTATACATTTAAGGGGGGAGCACGTGAGCGAGAGAGGGAGGGGGAGGGGCGACGGCGGGGCGGGGGAGGTGAAAGGGCGGCGGCGACACCCGCTTATAAATTTATATATATAAATACACGAAGAAACAAACAAACAAAAAAAATAAAACAACTTTTTCTACCTTTCTCCGCACAATCGATTCAATTTCTACGAGTAGAAAAAAATTTTTTTTTTTTTTTTTTTTTGCTGGAAGACATAAAAGTTTTTTTTACTCCTTCGGTAAATGTATGTTTAACTTTCCTCTTCTCTACCCCCTCCCGCCCCTCTTTTTCCCTCCCTTTTTTTATTTCGTGCATCCACATTCTAATCCGGTTTCTTCTTCTTTATGTATTTTTTTTCCCTCCCTAACGGGTCAAAAATAAATTATTATTATTATTATTATTAATAATATTATAAATGCTGCGAGACTCTTCGTCGTCGTCGTCATCATCATCGTCATCTTTATTTTTTTTTTCTACTAACCTTCGGCGTATGAAAATAATAATAATAATAATAATAAACGATTTTTCTTCTTCTTCTTCGTCTTCAACATCATCGTCGTCGTCGAAGGTGTTGTTGTTGTTTACATTTAAATAAATCGGACAAAGACAATAATATTTACGTCGCCACGTTTTAAAAATGGATGCCGCCACCGTTTCAAAAATATTTGTCTTCTGCTACGAAATAATTTAAATATCAAAATGTGGCAAAGTTTTTTTCCTATCGAACGATGACAAAGTCTTTCGAAACGTATGAAAATTCGACATTTTTTTTTTCAATCCGACTTTTTACGATGACGATGAAATTTTTTTCGCGTCGTCGGACACGACGACGACACGTGGAAAACATGGTCGCTCCCCTCGATTTCTCAACCGAAAAAAGAAAAGGAAAAATAAAAATAAAAAAAAAAAACCGAATTTGGCGGATTCGAAAAACAAGGAAAGGGAATTTCGCGGCGTCGTCGATTGTCATTCTATTGTCAACCAAAGAGAATCGTCTACAGGAAAATATTCGACCGTTTTTATCGTAGCGAATTTTTTGCTTGTTTTAGATAATATTTTTTTGGATTTTTCATTAAATTTGACTATTTTTTAGTTACATATTAATAAGAAATGCGTGAAGTTATATCGTGTCATACCGGACAAGCGGGAGTTCAAATCGGAAATGCGTGTTGGGAACTTTATTGTTTGGAGCACGGAATACAACCCGATGGTCAAATGCCATCGGATAAAACTGTTGGAGGGGGAGACGACAGTTTCAACACATTTTTCAGTGAGACAGGAGCTGGTAAGCACGTACCCAGAGCTGTTTTTGTTGATCTTGAACCGACAGTAGTCGACGAAGTGAGAACAGGAACTTATAGACAACTTTTTCATCCCGAGCAGTTGATTACGGGTAAAGAAGATGCGGCTAATAATTACGCCCGTGGACATTATACAATCGGTAAAGAAATGGTGGATTTAGTTCTCGATAGGATAAGAAAATTGGCGGATCAGTGTACTGGATTACAAGGTTTTTTAATTTTCCATTCGTTCGGGGGAGGAACCGGGTCCGGATTCGTATCGTTATTAATGGAAAGATTATCCGTCGACTATGGCAAAAAGAGTAAACTTGAATTTGCCATTTATCCAGCTCCGCAAATTTGCACAGCCGTCGTCGAACCCTACAATTCAATTTTGTGCACTCACACCACTTTGGAACACTCCGATTGTGGATTCATGGTTGACAATGAGGCCGTGTACGACGTGTGCCGGAGAAATTTAGACATCGAAAGGCCGACTTACACGAATTTAAACAGACTTTTGGGACAAATAGTTTCATCCATAACGGCATCCCTGAGGTTCGACGGAGCTTTGAACGTCGATCTAACGGAATTTCAAACCAATTTGGTACCCTACCCGCGAATTCACTTCCCTCTGGCGACCTACGCTCCCGTCATATCAGCCGAAAAAGCCTACCACGAACAACTTTCGGTCGCGGAAATCACAAACGCGTGTTTCGAACCCGCGAATCAAATGGTCAAATGCGATCCGAGACACGGTAAATACATGGCTTGCTGTTTGTTGTACCGGGGTGACGTCGTTCCCAAAGACGTCAACTCGTCCATCGCGACCATCAAAACGAAAAGAACGATACAGTTCGTCGACTGGTGTCCGACCGGGTTCAAAGTAGGAATTAATTACCAACCTCCGACCGTCGTTCCCGGAGGTGATTTAGCCAAAGTTCAAAGAGCCATTTGCATGATGTCGAACACGACGGCCATTGCCGAAGCCTGGTCGAGATTAAATCACAAATTCGATCTCATGTATTCGAAAAGAGCTTTCGTTCATTGGTACGTCGGAGAGGGAATGGAAGAAGGTGAATTTTCCGAAGCGAGAGAAGATTTGGCTGCACTCGAAAAAGATTACGAAGAAGTCGGCATGGATTCCGTCGAGGGAGAAGGAGAAGGCGGCGAAGAAATGTAAATAAAGAATTCCCGATTCGAAAACAAAACCAAAAAAAATCAAAAAAAACCCAAAAAAAAAACCAAAAAAACGAAAAAAAAAAAAGAAGAAAAGAAAAACAAAAAAAAAATTAAAAAAAATACACACACACGCACACACACGCACACATACACGTGCTTATCCATCACTCTCACCTTTTCTTTCTCTTTTCCTCCCACACACTCACACACACCCTCACACGCACACATACACTTTACACACACACACACACAATCCCAATGTCGATCGCGAGCGGAAAATTTATTTATTTATTTATTTTATTTTTTTTTTTTTTACAAACGAGAAAAAAAATAATAATGATAATGATAATGATAATGATGCTAAAAAAAAAAAAATTTAAAAATTAACAAATATAAAATAATAAAAAATACAAAAAATTTGAAAAAAAAAAAAAATTTAAAAAAAAAAAAAAAGGGAATACGATAAAATGTGATGAAAAAACCAACGCGCGCAAAAGGTATATGTTTGCTATGTGAAAGTTAAATTATAAATGTTTAACTCATTTGTTCTCTCTAATGTTTCAATAATTAAATATATATTTATTTATATATGTATATATAATATATATATATACACAACAAGCAAACGCAAAAATATATATATATATATATTTATATGTATATGTGTAGTCATGTTTTGTGCAGCAAAAAAAATCAAAACCCCTACGAAGAAGAAAAGAAAAGAAAAAGGAAAAGTTTTTTACTAAACTCACCTTTTCGCAATCTTCTTCCAGTCTAACGACTTTTTCCAATTGTAAAAAAAGTTCTTCTTCCTTTTCGTGAAGTTCCAATTCTTTCGTTTCCAATTTCCTTTCCAATTCTTTCCTCGCTTCTGCCAATCCATCTCTTTCCGCCTACGAAACGAAATGATTCATAATTTAATTTTAATTTTAATTTTAATTTAATTTAAACGTGCGTGCACACACGTGCACTTTACGCGTATATGCATCGTGCATTCGTATTCGAAAAAGTCGTGGAATAAGATTTTTGTTCGTACGTTTTCATTATTAATCGAGGTCGTCGCACATCTAAATATAAATCAACCGTGTGTCAAGTTCGCGTAACGGATTTATCATTACCTACGTACAAGAATACCTGTATGCATATATATATATATTTTCTGCCACGTTTCCAACAAACAAATCCTCCCCTCCCCTCCCCTCCCTCCCTTATTCCATACGAAATGTTAAACGATCCTCCCCCTATCGAACGTGGTTTTAAATTTCGCCATTTTTTTTTTTTTTTTTTTTTTAAAAAAAAGGTAAAATTTGATAACGATTTAAAAATATGATTTACCGCAGCCCCCACCCCCCACCCTATCACGCTTTGATGATGATGATGATGATGATAATAATAATAATAATAAATAATTTCCACGACAGAAAATCGATGAATATAATCGAACCGAATCGTAACGAAAAAAAATTTAATTTAATTAAATTATTTATTATTCAAAGGTTACCCGATTTGTTTTATTCATTAACAGGTAATAATGTTTGTTCGTTTTAATAAGTTTATGCAACAACAACAAACAACAAACAACGAACAACAACAACCATTATTCATGCTATTTTTTTTTATTTCTTTCTTTTCATTGCTATTAAAATGTCTTGCATGATTTTTCAACCTGAAATTATTTTCGTTTAATCCAACTTCCCCCCATCTCCTCATCTCCCCATCTATCTTCCCTCTGTCGGATTCAGACGACAGAAACGAATTAATAATAATAATAATAATAATAATAATAATAATAATAATAATAAACGATTTGTTCCAGAAAAATTTTTTTTTTTTTTTTTAATGTAATCGTCGTCGTCGTCGTCGTGCAGACTCCAAAATATCGATTTTTTTAAAACCATTATTTTTATTATTATTATTATCGTTTAAATTTATAATTCCGAACTTTTTTTTCTTCTCACTTTTTCCCTCCCCCCCCCAATTTTTCCTTTTTCCCACATTTCAAGCAATGGAAAAAATTTAACGCTCACGTGAAGTGATGAGACTATTACGTCACCAAGAAAATATCAAGCACTTCAGGCGAGTGTTGTAGTTGTATCGACCATTCCCGGAAAATTCAAGAAAGATAAAAAAATTAAATATAAAACCCCCACCCCCTCACTCACCCCCCACCCGGCACGACAGATTCGCAAAAGTCGTCAAAAATTGAAATCGTTGATTCTTTAACGATGACAAATAAAATACAAATCGAATGTAATTATAATAATAAATTGGAATGCGAATCAGGTTCGCGCAACAAAGTTCAATGAACCCTATTGTTATCATTAATTCTCTACCCGGAAATGAATTTTTTTTTTTTTTTAATTAAGCTATAATCACATCCATTAAATAAAAAAAAAAAAAAAAATTAAAAATAATTGTTTTTTTTTTTTTATGGAAAGAAACGGGGGGGGGGGAATAATAATAAGAAGATGGAGGAGAAGAGGAGAGGAATTCTTTTTTTAGACGAAGGTAAACATCTATAACCGTTCCTCCTCCTTCTCCTCCTTCTCCTCCTTTTCCTCCTTTTCCTTCTCTTTCTGTTTTCCCTCCTCCTTCTTCTCCTCTTCCTCCTCCTTCTCCTCCTTTTTTCTCATTTTTCTCCTCCTTTTCCTCATCCTCCTCCTCCTCCTCTTACTACTACCACCACCTTTCATTTTTTCTGCGGAATTTGCAACCCGAAATTATCGATTAACCAAAAAAAAAAATTTTTTTTTTGGATAACGTGGCACTAGATAAGTGCATTGCAATGCAACGAGAGTTAGAAAGAGAAAGAGAAAGAGAGAGAGAGAGAGAGAGAGAGATAAACGAAAAATTAACAAATAATTTAGTTTATTAGTTCGTTCGTTCGTTAATCGCTTAGTTTATTAATTAAAAAATAATAGTAATAGTAATAATAATAATAATAGTAATAATGATAATAATAATAATAAAATTTTCGTGATTTTTTTTTTTTAAATTTCGTTCCGGATTTGAAATTTTCCACTTTTGAGCAGGAAATTTGATTTTATTTCTTTTTTTTTTTTTTATTCTGAAAATTGACCTAAACGGTTACGCCTCAAACACGCAAAAATTCACACGCACCAAACATACTCGATTATGATGATGATGATGGATTCAATTATTTTCTTATTCTTCTTTCTATTTTTTCTGCATAATTCGCGTTCGCATAAAAAAAAAAAAAGTGCGTTCGTCGCTAATGAATCATTTAAACAAAAAAATTTTTTTAAATTCATTTCCTTATGAGAATCACTCATTCCCTCTCTCTCTCTCTCTCTCGCTCGCTCGCTCGCTCTCATTAACAAGTCCCAATGAAGCCAGACGTTCGAATACATCATCCCATACACAACAACCAACGGCGAGGTTTCCCTCCTCTCCCCGGGATTTCGATTCATTGATAGGCAACAAATCGAATCGAATTTTTCCAACGGTTTTCTGACGGCCATCTTGATTTCTCCTTTTTTTTTTTTTTACGTACGAAAAGAAAAATGGGAAAACAAACGACGACGACGACCAAGAAGGTTTGTATTACGTGTTTGATAAGAGAAAAAGAGAGAGAGAAAGAGAGAGAGAGAGAGAGAGAGAGAGAGAGAGAGAGAGAGAGATAAAAAATTAAAATTAAAAATTAAAACTACTCCAAAATTCCTTGTCGGAAGCTAAATTAAACGGATGACCTTTAAACTTTTAACGAATTCAAGTTATTATAAAAAAAAAAAAAAAAAACTTTTTCTAATTTGCATCCGACCTATCAAGTTCGTAGCTTTTTTCAAAACAAACAAAAACTGCAACCGACGAACAAACGTCTTGACATAAAGAATAATAATAATAATAATTTTACCTCCTGCCACGTCCATTCGAATTATTATATTTAATATAATAATAATAATAAAATGTGATTTATTTGTGCAAACGTCACCGACGACGACTCCTCCCCCCTCTATCCTTTACGCCTCCCTTCCTCGCTCCCTTCCCCCCACAAATCTTCTCTATTTTTTCACGTTTTCGACTGATTTATTTCGATTCGATCGTTTCTTTTTGTTCGACACTTCCTAGATGGTCGACCCCGAGAAAAGAGAGAGAGAGAGAGAGAGAGAGAGAGAGAGAGAGAGAGAGAGAGAGAGAGAGATAGAGAGATATAGAAAAGCCATAAACGACGCCGACGCCATTACAAAAAAAAAAAAAAAATTTTTCAACATTTTCCGGTTGTTTTCTTCGCACACGATTTGAATGTGTTTTTTTGTTTCCACCTCGGACTTTCCAAAATTTTAACGTGTATTTAGACAGTTCATTTTTCATACAAACATACAAAAAAAAAAATCATTTTCGTGTCATTTTCAATTTTGGCAACAAACAAATCATTTTTCACAAAACACATCAGGAGAGAGAGAGAGAGAGAGAGAAAGAAAAAAAACAAAATTTACACGTGTACGCGTGTACGCGTGTTGTTTCCGCTTCCAGTTTTGAATTTTTTTTTGAAACTTTTTTGTTTGTATGTTTGTTTTACCTCCCATTTGAGGATTCCATTTAAATGCATTTCGGCAATTAAATAAAAAATAAAATAAACATTTTGAAAAAAATTTTTCTAAAGCTGCCAACAAATATTTAAATAAATTTTTTTTTTTTTTTTTGCATTCGGTTGCGCCGTTCGACAAACAAACAAACAAACGAACGAAAAATAATTTCCGCGATAGTATTCGCGTGTGACATTTATTCGTTGACTTTAAAAAAAAAAAAAAAAAAAAAAAATCATTTTAAAACAAACATGAAACGATTATATTTGATATATCGACCGATCTCGTTTGCTTGTTTGTTTGTTTGTTTGTTTGCATTCCTTTTTTTTACAATTTCATTATTTCAGAAAATTAATCGAATTTTTTTTGATTGTTTTTTCTTTCTTTTTTGTCGGGTCAATTGATTCGTTTAAAAAGCAATCAAATATTTTGTTCGTTTGTTTGTTTGTTTGTT